GAAAAGCAAGCGAAAATTATGATTTTTAATCTCAAATTTTCTGAAAGCATACGCAGAGAGAATTTTTTCTTAGAATTACTTTGAAAATCATAGCGATTGTGTGAAATAGTATTGAAAGAATTTTGTAAGAGTTTCTCTGATTAATTTTTATCACAAAAAATACTAACATCTACCACAATAAGATATAAAATATGTGTTCGATTAATTTTACTATGCACATACATAGTAAAATTTAGTATGTAAATTCTTAAAAAAAATTCTCCCCGTGTAGCTGCAATTTTTCTCTCACGAGAATTGTCTATATATTTTATATAAATATATATTGTTCATAAAATTTTATAAAAGAATTTAAAGGTCGTATCATTTAAAAAATGCATATTCATTATAATTTAATCAATCATTACGCACAGAGAATTTTCTCTTATTAAGAATTTCTCTGAAAATCAATATGATAAGTTCTAAAAGAAAATTCTCTCCGTGTATAATAAACGAAAATGTAAAATTGAAAAGAATAGACAATATTTTTCAAGATGAAATTATTTATTAATCTGTTTTAAATATAGGATATATTTTTGGAACATGAGTTGGATAACAATCTGGAGCATATTGAATAAATGAACTGAAATTATTAATTTGGCAATCTATTAACTCGAGAATAATGAAACTATATAATAATAATCATTAAGGTTCTCAGATGTCAGTCTAAAAATCTCACGTATCAGGAACTTATTAAAAGTACATGCAAGTCAATATAAATTCACGTTATCGCGTAGAAATTCTGAATCTTTTTTCACCATTCATCGTATATATATATATATATATATATATATATATATATATATATATATATATACAATATATACACATACCTCGCGTTGTTTGCGGTAATCGGCTCGCCGGATCGTAAATTAGTAAATGGATCCTGCAATTTTAACGCACATTTTCTCCGTGCACGTCCACGAGCATTATTTCCTCTCCATTTTTTTTTTTTTTTTTTTTGACGGACGACGGACGCCACGTTTCGTTAACGTATACAAACGTGAAAAATTCGAAGTCGCGAGAATGAAATTTGCACGAATGTGACTCCTGCTTGCCAGTGATTATTCCGCGACGATGACAAGCCGGAATATTTACGGACGTGGCAAATGATAAATGAAAAATGGAAGTAAGCATAATTTTTTAGCTTTACATACTCATGAATACAGTAAAACGAATCGTTGTTTTTATATAAAGCGAATAAGATTGTTTATATATATATATATATATATATTTTTTTTTTTTAAATCAACGTCAAACAAGATAAATTATAATCACCGTGTACGTCAATATACAATTTTATCAAATATATTTAAAAAATCTTAATTTTTATTTATCACTGAATATGAATGTTTTCAGAAAGTTTACAATTCCATTTATATTCGATAAAAATAGGAACAAAAATCTCCTGGCGAAGTAACTAGAACTTTGTATGATATCGTCGCCCCAAACCGTGATTAGTCGGTTCGTGTGTGCACACATCCCTTTCAGACCGCAGCAATTTCTTCCATTCATTAGAACACCCCATAGTGGGCAGCATGCCACACATGCGAGCGAATGAGATAACCGGAAATGGCGTTTCGGGTGGAATTGCAGCTTGTTTACACATTCTCGTTAAGCTCGGAATCTCTTGCGGAATTCTTAAATTGCAGCAAAATTCTGCGCCGCATATATATATATATATATATATATATATATATATATACAAGCTTTATATATATATAGTAAAATTATTAGATTAACGATAAGGCGAAGACGCTGCCGCTTCATTAAGATAATGAGATATGTTGAACAACGATGGAATTTCGATTTATCACATGATTGAATCTATCCCCTCAGCAAAGCATAGTCTTATGAGAGTTCAGTTATTATTCTTGATATTAGAAAAATATATTTTGTAATACTAAAAAAATATATTTTGTAATACTGATATCGATGCAAAGCGAACAATATCTATACGGTGAAATCCGTCCTTTATTTTAGAGTTTAGAGAACAGTCTTTTATTTCACTGTTCCTTCAAAATTCATTTTTCCAAAGCTCAAGTTTGCCATTTATTTTTTAAATGTTGTGTATTATTTTTTATTTAGCACTTTAATCTCTAATATGCCGTAGTATTAACATGAGAATTTGAGAAACGGAACTTGTTACCTGGTATTTATTTAAGAAATCAAGGATTTGTTTCTCAACATAGTCAAATTAGTTTCAAATTATAAAGAATATGTAGATTTTGGATGGTCAGAGAATTATTTTTTTTGGCTTGCAAATTGATTTGGAAACAAAGACAAAAATTACAGAAGTTACTGCAATGAAAAATATAAAAAACAGTTTAAAGTACACTCTATACATTTTTTTCAATTTAAGAGAATTTTCTCTTAGAATTTACCCTGAAAATTATGGTAATCGTGGGACAAGATAATATTGGAAGAATCTTATAAGAGTTTCTGATTAATATTTGCCACAAAAAAATATTAATATGCACATAGTAAATTATTTTGGAAGAATATTATAATATTGGAAGAATTTTATAAGAATTTCTTTGATTAATATTTTTTTTATCACAATAGAAAATAAGATTAATTTTACCCTGCACATAGTAAAATTTACTATGTATACATATTAATGCTTTTTATTGTTCTAAATATTAATTAAAGAAACTCTCATAAGTTTCTTCCAATACCATATTGTCGCGCACGATTACCATGATTTTCAGGGTAAATTTTAATAAGAGAAAATTCCGAGTATATTTGGAAAAAATAAAAAGTGAGGGAAAAATTTAATTTCTGGTCTTGGAAAATCTGAAAAAATCCGGGAATTTTTTTCATTGAGTCTGCTGGACACCCTGAAAGAGAAAGAGATCGCGGGACTAAGGCCGTGGCAAGGCCGCCGCGCAGTCGCGCGATACTCTGTTCCCACCACTCGATTCTTTCTCTTTCTCCGTCTCGCATTCTTCTTCCTTATCGCACACGTGTCTCTCCGCGCGATAAACTGCCGCGTCAGGCAGAACGGCGCGGCGCGGCTCGGCGCATCGTACTACGTCGTAGTAGGCCGTAGTACGCGACCTATCCCCTCTTCCGCCATTCATTCATGAATGACGAAGCGCGGCACAACTTTTCGCGCCGCTGCAATCTGCCGGGAAATCGACGCAGAGACGCCGCGCCGGACAAAGAGTGGCTTGGCCGTATATACGCGTTTCACGCCTATCTCTATGGAGTGCTCTCTCAAAATAACGCGTATATACTACGTTTAGATGCGGGATGTACAAAGGGAACAATGTAGCCGTGTAGGTACAAGATGTGCCGGAATTGCGAGATAGTATTCGGAGCGCTCGGAAGTAGAGGAGAAACAGCGCGCAAACTCGGAGAACAGTTATTCTCCTCGTATTGACAAGCGTAGTAAAAAGAAAGAAAAAGAAATGAATCGAGCTTCTCTCTCTCTTTCGCACTTTTTTTATATTATTCGCGGGATAGCTCAGCGAAGTTAAATGTCATATACGTACTATATATTTTACGTTGACTATCCATTCTTATTTTAGAGTATTATATTTTACAATTATTCATTTTCTAAAACTCAATTTTGTCCTTTATATTACAATGTTTTCTTTTATTTTTTATTTATTCATTGTCATCTAATGTCGTATATATTGTACATGGAAAGAATTTTCTCTTAGAATTTATCCTGAAAATCATGGGATGGGATAATGTAAGAATTTTATAATTTTGTATAAGTTTGTTTAAAATTAATCGAACATATATTTTATTGTGATAGACATTAATATTTTTATCTTGTAATTTCTTATAATTGCAAAGTGAATACAATTTAGATATAGTAATTTTAAATATAATAATGCTTACATTATGTGTTCAAAATTTAATCAAAGCTCTATTATTCTATATATATTTTAACAGGTCAGAATAATTCATTCTACACGGAGAGAATTTTCTCTTAGAATTTACCCTGAAAATTAATAAAAAATATTAATATACGTATACATAATAAATTTTACTATGTAGTATAAAATAGTAAAATTAATCGAACATATTTTTTATATCTTCTTTGTGGTAGATATTAATATTTTTATTGCGATAAATATTAATCAGAGAAATTCTTATGAAATTCTTTTTCAATACCATATTTATTGTCCTACGACACCATGATTTTCAGGATAAATTCTAAGAGAAAATTCTTTCTGTGTAACGTGAGAATTTTATACGAAAACAACGGTACTTATTTTTATTCGGAACCCATTTAAGAAACGAAGGGTTGTTTCAATATAGTCGAATCAATTTTAAACTATAAGAATAAGAACGTAGACTTCTGATAGTCACTGAATAATTTTTTGCTCATCAATCTCTACTTCTGGTCGCAAACTGATGTAGAAACATGTTGAAACAAATCCCCAAAATTTTCTTCGTTCTTTCTGCTACACTCGCCTCGTAATTTCCCAAACGGCTTCATGTTTGTTAAAGTCTATCTCTAAAATATCATACGCTCCATATAACCGTATACAGGGTGTCTCATTTTAATGTTCCATCCCAAATATTTTTTTATTTTCGATCGTAGAAGAAAATAAGATGGTGCCATTAGTTTGACCTTGAATAGTTAACTTGAAGATCACGCGAAGGTCACTATCTTGTCCCGATCTTGCCTTATAACTTAAAAAAAAGTTCTTAACGAAAAGGTACTTAATTATAGAGCTTTGGAAAGCTCTTGATGTAAGCTAGAAAAAAATGTAATGAAAAGTAGGATTGTTTCATTGAAGAAATTGAAGGTGAGACATGAAAATGGGACACCCTGTATATCTAACCGTAATAGAGTTCAAACAACCGTCGAGAAATCTCCGCGCCGTACGATCGTCTGAAAGAGATACCTGGCATTCTATTAAACTCGTCCAGGCGTGGGAAACTCACCCTAAGAAAACACACTGTAGATATATATCGTATATATATACATCGGCCTTTCGCAGACGATGGCGCGGCGTTAAATAGCGCCGTTAATTCCGAGCCCCGGAGCTGGTCGTCCAGCGCCCTGGAGATCCGTGAGACCGCGTTAGAGGGTAAACACGCCGTCGCAGCCACGGAGATACATCCGGGCGATACTCTGATAGTCGAGCCACCGCTGGCGGGCTGTCTCCTACCCGAGTTCTACGGCACCCATTGTCAGCATTGTTACGCGAGGTGAGGAGAGAGAAAATTGCCGCCTCCGGTCGCTCGAATTTAATGGCCACGAGCCGACCCGCCGTAATCCTCTTCTCCGTATGTAGTTTTCGCTTTGCCTACAGTTCTCCAGCTCGTGCTTTAAGCCCTGCCGCGTCGCGTCATTCGCGGCTTTTTACGGATAAACTCGCCGCGGCGGCAAGAAAGAGAAAATAGATTTCATTAACTCGAGCTACGCGGAAACCGGCCCGCATTATTACGTATATATAGTAAACCGCATGTTAACTAAGCCGCGGAAAATCTTGAAACACAAATGTTTTTTAATATTATTATATTAAGGGGATGCTGACCACGACTTTGAGTTCAAGGACTTTTCTTTTTATTGGCTATACAAATTAAAAAATCCTTCTCCACGATTAAAGTACTGATAATAATGAACGGGGAGCGCTGTAATTTCGTATAAAAAAACAATAAAAGTTAAAAAATTACAGTTTTTGTATCGGCCTCTTGCATCAGCTCATAACAATACTTATTTATTACAAAAGTTCTGCAGTTTATTTGTGCACAAAATATGGCGCTCTCAATAGAGATGACATGAAAGAATTCATTATTATCAGTACTTTCATTGTGGAGGATTTTTCAATCTGTATATTCAATAAAAAGTGAACTTAACCTAACTTAAAGTCGGTAAAACAGAACAACGGCAGCATCCCCTAAGGACAAAACATTTTTTTTTTTTTTTTTTATAAGATTGTTGATCGATAGATTTTTTAAATTTATCTGGATTGAATCTCGTCGCTTTCGCGCGCGGAGAAAGTTTTTTTTACGCTCGGTTTTTATTCGTCGATTTGCATAATTTACTCGCACGGCTAACCCCATTTTCTTTTCGATCGATCTACGAATATCCGGGAAATTTTTAGACTGAAAGCGCCGATCGGATGCCCGAATTGCAGCTGCGTCGCTTTCTGCGGGAGAAAATGCAGAGACATCGCGATGGCGACGTATCACAAGTACGAATGCAAAATACTCGCATTGCTAATAGGTAAGCGTATGAACAAACGTTTCATTATCGTTGTGAAATATTGTATTATAGTTTGATAACATTTTTTTTTATGAATATCGCGATGAAACTTGAAATAGGTAACCTTTTCTTGATTAAAATTTAAATAGACACGTCATAACTTTTTCAATGTTTTTATAATGTCTTAAAATTAGTAGTTAAAATATTTTGTAAAAATAAAAGATTCGTTGAAACTTCTTTAATTTTACACGGCTAAAATTATTGATACCTCAATTAATGTTTTTTGTAAAAGCATTTTAATTGAACAAAAAATACCGTGTAGGAAATTCGCTCGATACAGTACACGGAGAGAATTTTCTTAGAATTTATTCTGAAAATCGTAGTATTGGAAGAATTTTATGAGAATTTCTTGAAATAAAATATTAATTAATATTTTTTATTGTGGTGAATATAAATCAAAGAAACTCTTAAAATAAAATAAAATTATATAAATGATCATCTGAATTTTGACGTCATCGTATCTTTATATAGATAACAAAAATGTATATTATCTATATTTACATCTTATTGTTAGATGAAAAAAATATTATTTTTACTAAATTATCTGAAATAATGTTCAAATATAATTTGCTTTAGAGTCATAAAACAGATAAAAATTACTTAAGCAGTAAGCGATAAAAACTTACAAATAAAAGTATGAATATATAGTTTTATATTCCTTATATAATTTACATTTTTTATATAACTGTATTTACATAAGCAATTTTAAAAATATAATTATCTTAAAGTTATCTAGATGAATCGCTATATAATTTATCTTTTACCTACATATATTTAAATTCAAAATCTCCTCATCTTATCTAAGATGAATTTACATATTTTTATCTTATCTTTATCTAAATAATTTTAAAATTATCTGAGCACAAACTGCCCACGATTTTCAGGGTAAATTCTAAAAGAAAATTTTCTTAGTAATGTTTGAGTGCACAGTTGAATAATTTAACGTAATGTGGATATGTTATATGAAAACACGAATGCTGTGTTAATATTTTAACACAAAAGAAATGCAAAACTTCAAGTAATTTAAAATAAATTTTGTGTGACATTAACATAGAGAGTATCAATGTAAAAATCCACTAAAAATATGTTAATTTTAGATTTTATCATTTCTACTTATAAAATAAAATATCATTTTTTTGTCAATTTTAACAGATCAATCTTATCACTAATGAAACAGAACATATTTATTGTGTAAAATTAAGAATAGATCGACATTGTATTATTTTTACACCTTTCTCTTCAGTTGTTCTAATAATTTAACACTAAAGTTCAGTTAACAAAAAAGCAATATGTTAATGTGTTAAATATTTAACACAAAACTTTTAACCGTTTTTACCAAGAAAGCACAAATTTTCCTACTGTGTAGTTAACCAAATCGGCGATGTAATAATGTGTGAAATAATATAAAAACGAGCTTTATGATATTCGAAAATTCTTATGATTATGATGAATAGCTCCATTTTATTATACGCGCGACTTGGCGCATTTCAAGCGTCGAAACCGAGGTTCTTACAAGGTAATTAGAAGTCACCCTTGAATTCTCTCCTTCAGGCTCCGGCATGAGCGTACTCAGCATGGTCGCCTTTCGAATGGTGACGCAGGAGGGTCTGCGGAAGTGTTTGAAGATCTACGAGAAGTTGGAGAAGAGTGGCAGCGAAAAGGCCGCGACACCTTTGACGACGACGACGTCCTCGTCGGAGACGCCCGATGCAAAATCCTCGGCAAACAGCCGCTCGGCCAGGAGAAGACTCAGACGGAGGAAGCTGCAGGAATCCAGACGAGGCGAGTGCGGAATCGAGTCGAAGAGCGAAGAAACGGAGGAGGACACAAAGGAGTCCCACGAGAGCGACGCGACAGCGTACAATCTGGTGACGCACGCGAACAAACGCACGGAGAAAGACTTCCTGGAGAGAACGCTGATGGCGGCCTTCCTGCTCAGATGCCTGCAGAGAGTCGGCTTCTTCGCAAGTCCCACGTCCGACGACGGTATTCGTCATCATCGGCTCGTTTTACACCTCCAGGGTGTCTAGCGGTTAGGGAAATCTGGAAAACCGTGCATTTTTATCAATCTGAAATTGTCGGGGAAAAGGTCAAGAAATTTTACTATTTATCTGGATTTTTTCACGTTATTCTACATTTGTCTCAATGATTTGACATTTTTTATTAAATCGACATAAACTTTTCCTTGATTCCCAACACGCTAATTTTCATCGTCGTGTTATTTTATTTCAATGTGTTTTATAGAGACAAAATGTGAGAAATTTGATATAATGTCAATACAATAGTATATTGTGTATCAAGTGCGGAAAGTTGGCAATTGGTCACGAGTGCGACCACCCCACACGAGTGAACAATTGTCAATCCGCACTTGATACACACGATATTTTGTATTACAAGTGCAGGCAAAGTGGCTTTGTGCGCGAGATGGCCGATCGCACGCCGCTATCTTGCGGCGTGGGAAATCGACCGCTTTCCGCACAGAAAACACGCACACAAAGTGCCACTTTGCCTGCACGTGTAATACAAAAGCTGATTATTTAAATAGTTTATAATGATATGTTTGTTTCGATTATCATATACTTAATGCTGACTGCATAAATGATTTAAATTTTTGTTTTAACTTCCGAACCTTTTCACTGTTGACAAAAATATCTCATAGATTTCATGATTTAACATTTAATTGATTTATCATATAGATATATGCAAGTTATATATTTGGAAAAAAATACTAAAAAGTCAGGGAATTTTTTTCTCGAGTCTGCTGGACACCCTGATCTCTCTCTTCTTTTCTGATTTCTCCTACCCTCTCTCGGACTGTATTTAACTTTTGGAAATAATTTTCGCGCGAATATATATAAGGGAAAAATGCTGCTCGCGCGGGCGAGAGGACCAACTTTCGATTCAGCAAATTCTTCACTCGCGAGCCACGAAGCCGTAATTTTAACAACGCTCAGCGGAAAGAGTCGCGGAAAGTTTTTGCCGAGAAGCCGAGAGAGCGGCGGGGTGAGAAAAAGGGAGAAGAAGGGAAGTGGAAGAATGCGGAGAACGCAGGGGGAAGCTATACTAATATCGGAAACTTTGGCGAGTTCGCAGAGGTCCCGGGCGCCGAGGAGATCATCGTGGCCGCGCTGCTGCTGAGGAACCTGCAGCTGCTACAATTCAACGCCCACGAGTTCTTCGAGACGCGACTGAGCGCGGAGCATCGATTCCGCGGCAGCCGTCCGGTCTACCTCGGGGTGGCGATTTATCCCACGGTCGCACGTTTCAATCACGACTGCTATCCCGCGGTGACGAGGTGGGTAGAGGAAGACGAAAAACGAGCTTAGATGATTCTCTTGCGAATTTTTTCGAAAAAATAAATGGAACGCAATGAGAAGGCTAATGTTAAATTGTTATATAGAGAAAGAATTTTCTCTTCGAATTTCATCTGAAAATTATGGTAATCGTGATATACAGGGTGTCCCACAGGAAAATGCTGAAAATCATCAGCTGTCATCTTTTAATGCATGCGGTTATTGAGAAAACAAAAATTATTAATCAAATAAATTGGTATACAAACATTTTATTTGTATCTATTAAAAACTGCATGCATTAAAAAATGACAGCTGATTAGTTTCAGCATTTTCCTATGGGACACCCTGTACGACAATAAAGTATTGGAAGAATTTTAGAAGAGTTTCTCTGATTAATATTCACCACAATAAAAAGTATTAATATGTAAATTGTTCTATCGAGATTTTTATTTTTTATTTCACAACTGTCAAACTGTCAACTTTCACGATGACAACTGCTTTATATTAATCTAACACGCTATAAGCGATTCTCACGAAATAACAAATGATATCTCTGATGAGAAAACGATCTCGTTATGTATAAGATTCTATTCCAACTTTTTATACACATTAAAAATACATGAAACACACATACATACAATGTGTCCCTGAGTTTTACACATTACACACGCTGTATCACCGAACTTTGCGTTCTAGCAAGCGTCTTCATTTGCATATTAATAACGTGGTCGCGCAAAAGAGTAGACTGCCATGGTAGACGGGAGCTAATTAGTATAACCAGACGGTACACAATCGCCTGTGTCATCGCGCGAATTATTAATCGACCCGCGACCGCTGTAGTAGTCTGTTAAACGAACTTCTTCCGGAGTCCTTCAACAACTTTGTGCGCTTTGTTGGCGGAAAAACTTTATTCCTCGTCTAAATAAATCTTTTAACTCTTTAGCCGAATTTATGTAAGCACTTGAAGAAAATTGACAAGATTTTACTTAAAATAATCTGCGTGAGAATTCACAAATAAATTTTGCAATTATACAAAAGTAATTATATATATTATAATCATTCGTTTTTTTTATTAAATCGAGAACAATTATAATTATAATTAATATATCATGTTTAAAGGAATTTTGTATCTAAGAATATAATCGCGAGATTTCTACCGAGGTATCTATTAACGCTAATTAAGTACGTGGATTTGCGTGTATTTCAGCAGGCAGAGCACTAAAGCGCGTTTGTGATGACTTCGTGGGTCGCGGCCATTATACGCGAAATTACACCAGCTCGCTCATTATTCGGTAATGTCACAAACTCGTCTGCGTTATTCGGTGCACGGAAATTGTTACTGTTCACGTTATTAACGTCGCCGGAGCTATTGTGATGATTACGATTATTATTTCATGGCGAAGTAATTGCGTCGTCCCGTCCCTCTTTTTCGATTTATCAAGTTCCGTACTTGATAATAAACTTTCCCCCTTCGGATAACCACTTTTAATTTGATGCGAACACGCGTGTGTCTAACATTTAACTGACAGATAAAATGCGAAAAAAATCAGAGTATAACACAGAGAGAAAATTCTCTCTTAATATTTATCCTGAAAATCATGATAATTATGGGACAATATGATATTGGAAGAATTTTATAAGAGTTTTTCTACATAATTAATATTTACCACAATAAGAAATATTAATATATGTATACATAATAAAATTAATCGAGCATATTTTATATCATATTGTTATAGATATTAATATCTTTTATTGTGGTAAAAATATTAATCAGAGAAATTCTTCCACTAATGATATTCAGGGTAAATTCTAAGAAAAAATTCTCTCGGTGCTTTATATGCCTCCGAAAAAATGTAATTTAGAAATAGAATAAATATAATAAATATATAAAATATTGTTACGTAAGACATCATAAAACAAATTAGTTTATAATTAGCTGATACAGTTATCGAAACACGACTACTGCACAGAGAGAATATTCTCTTAGAATTTACCTTGAAAATCATGCGGTATTGGAAGAATTTTATAAGAGTTTTTCTGATTAATATATACTTATCATAATAAAAATATTAATGTTTTATCACAAAAATAAGATCTAAAATATGTTCGATTAATTTTATTACGCACATAATAAAATGTATTATGTACATTATTAATATTTGTTGTTGCGGTGAATATAATCAGAAAGAAACTCTTATAAAATTAATATAATTTGTAACAGCTCTTTAAAAATTAATATATATATATATATATATAAAGCAATAAGAGCTAATTAAGTTCTTTCATTAATATTTATTTGTGGAAAAAGATTTATAACATAAAAATATTAGACAGAAATAAATTCGAACGTTTCGGTTGCCTTTTTCAACCTTCTTCAGCGCATCATTTAAAATTAAAGATTAATAGAAACTCTTATAAAATTCTTCCAATACTATATTAATATTAATTCACATTATCATATTAACGTGCATTAATTAACGAGAGAGGAATTTTCTTTCTGTCGGATCGCAGATATTTCGTCGGACGACATATAGTAATAAGGGCAGTTCGCGGTTTACGGGCCGGCGACGTTATTGCCGAAAACTACGGGCCGATATTCACGAAGATGACGCTTGCCCAGCGTCAAAGGACACTTTGGGGAAGGTATTGGTTTCGATGCACATGCAGGGCCTGCCAAGAGGACTGGCCGCACTTTGAGAATCTGACGAACGATTCCGTCAGGTTGAGGTAAGTCTGTTTAAATTCCCCATCACGTCATCACGCATGAACGGGGAGTAATTTGACTTAATTAAATGAAAGATATTATCGGTATACTCCTTCCCCAAGTTTCCAACTGCGTACGTGTTTCTATCTTTAACGACGGATTAGCAAAGTAATATCGATCGGAAATAAAGCAGGATAATTTATTACCCACGTCTTTAACGCGTGTTGTATATCGCGGCTCTTAATTAACATTAATTCCTTCGCGTTATCTATCCGAGAGACTTAAATTACGTAATTACTTGAATTCTAAATAAAAATAAAGAAACGTCAAAATTGCAAATAACGTAATAAGAGTATAGGAATGTCGCGTGGTAAGAATAATGAGCGATCGAAATAGAGAAAGAGAAAGAGAGCAGATGTTTCTCGAGGTCGTTAAAAACCGCAAGTCCCGACGAGGTGAGCGTCTCAAAGGGACGAAACGTCGGTGCCATAAGGATGCTCCTGTCGTCAAAGGTACTTCTGTGTTCGTTGATGGTCGTAAGATTCTTATACCAACTCCGACGACACGACCAGGTGCTTTCATCAGTTTCGCGGTAATTTTCTGATAGTAGTACTAGCCATTACGTTTAATCTTTTCACGTCTTTTACGTCAACAACAACAGCGAACGCGTGTCTGTATATGTGCGCCGACGACATTTCTCTTTCGGAGAAATAAACCACGAGACTGCTCTTTGAAAACATCAGTTTATCCCGCCGAACAAAAGTTCCATTATAAGTAATTATTTCGTCATCACGCTAAAGTCTTTTAAACGCATAGTTTCACCCTAATGTCTGGTTTTAGAGAAGAGCGATTTAATACTCGTTAGGACGTTGTTAGGTTTTTGGGGTCTTTTTAATTCGACATTTTATCCTTGATTATACCTCCAAATTTAGCCAAATAACAAAACATGCTGTTCTTTTGTAAATTTCGAATAAGCTTTTTATTTTATTTCAACTCGTTGGCTTAACCTTAGTCCCGACTCATGGGTCGTTTGCGACCCAAACGAACAAGTGATTTTTTTAGGCACCTCCATTTCTTAATAACAAACTATATAAAAAAAAATAATTTTTATCGAAATATTATGATTGGGACTTCAAGTTGAAGGTTGCAAGAAGCTCCATGAATTTCTTCAGACTTTTTAAAGCGTTTTTACTGATCCAAATAACGCAAAAACGCAAACGACCCATGAATCGGGATTAAAGGTGCCGAAAAGAACCGTCGGGACTAAGGGTTAATTACAAAAATATACAAAGATACAAAAATTGTAATAACTCTGATTGAGAAAATTTGACGTTGAAAAAAATCCGGATAGCACTTATTGTTAGAACATCCTGCGTGTAAGAGAGAGAAAGTCAGTAAAAATGATATCCCAAACTTTCTGACATCAACTACTGTAGTGCTCTAATTTTCCAACTTTTATTCATATTCCCGTAACGAAAAATCTTGAACGGGATGAAAATTGCTAAATATTCTCTGTTTTTCCCCGAGGTGTCCTACGGCAGGATGCAGCAGACTGCATTCGCGAGCGCAGCAACCGATAAAATGCCCGGGTTGTCGGAAGAAGATCTGCTTGGAGGAGCGACTCGCGTGTCTGCAAGAGTGCGAGACGCTCTACACCCGCGGATTGGCCAGCATGGAGGACGAGAGGGTCGATGAAGCGATCGAGACGCTGCGCGCCGCCTTGAAGAGATTTCACCAAATCGCCTGTCCACCGCATCGGGACACACACCTGGCCGAAATTGCTTTAAGCTCCTGTCTGATTGACCGCGGGAATACTTGGAGACCAGCGGTGCTTTGAAGAAAAAAAAGAAGAAGAAGAAGAAGAGGAGAAGAAGAAGAAGAAAGCTGGGTGACCGCGTGGCAGCGAGCGTGTCCTTCGAATAAAGGACGAGGGTGTTTGTAATCCCTTAGCGTACAGGCACCCTGTGGTCGGAACAATTTACTCGTAGCACATTGTGATATTTTGTGTAAAGACATATATTCGGCTAATAGTCTCAATCATTTTTCAGACAAAAAGTATCCCTGTACTAATTATATTACATTACAAATGGATTTCGATTAAATCATCTTTTTTATATGTGGCTTTTTTTATACGTTGTAATTTATGGCCTGCTGAACAAAAGATGTAATAGCTGCAAAAATAAATAATGGACAATTACTGAGTTACAGCCGGTCAAACAATTCGCAAAGCTCGAGTTTTTCGTGCTTGACTGGGTTGTAAATCAGTAATTATCTATTATTTAGCTTTGAGCTTATTACACGTTTCGTTCAAAAACTACAACATATGAGAAAAGCAATAAATTTTATCAAGATTCAATTTTATACAGGATTAGTGCGGGGTTTCTAATTTATATGAAATCCTAGATGAAACATTAAATTTCGATCAAATCAGCTGGTTTTCTCATATGTTGAATCTTATGATCTACTGAATCAAAACCAGTCCTTTGTTGTAACAATTTTCGTGTCAATTTATATAATGACTCAATTTTGCCAATTGAAAGTTGAAATGATATTTTACTCTGAAAATATTAAAATCAATCAAATTCAACAATATTTTATTATCAATTCAACTAGTCGAGGACAGTTTGATATACACATGATACATACGTGGCATTTGATTCTTGATAGCTTTTTTTTTCTCAGATTGCGACCATTCGGATCAGACTTGGCGCGAGAGGAACGTTATCCTTATTGCCTGTATAAAATCGCCCGGTTCCAAGTAACGCAATAAAACTCCCCATAGGGGAAATAGAATAAAAAGATTCAGCTCGCTGCGCGAACGACGTCACGTCGCGCCCGTAAAGTCGTATAATTTGCACGCGTTATTATACGTGCGCATACATGCATACATCTTTACATACATACATACATGCAATCTTTACCTTTGGCCGCTCGCCTCCTCGGCATTGATATACACAAGACACAAATAGGCGATAATTGATATTGCGAGCACGAATCAACTGTGCGCGAGTTAGGTATCGATATCGGGAAATTAGAGGCCGAGGCGTTTACCGAGGCGTCGACCTGGAAGTCAACTTTTTTAATTTCGCCTGCACACAGAGCGCGGGCAATCAATCGGTTCATTTGAGATCTCTCTTGATTGCCTTCGCCGTATGTGTGTATATATATATATATGTATGTATGTATGTGCGAGCGATGTATCGTATCTCTATCTGTGAAAACATACGGTTGGGAGTTCCCGATAAGTCATACACGGTTTTTCCCTACGTTCTTCTTCAAGAGCATGGAATTCTGCCAATCTTAACGTTCGTTTAAAGATCCTGTCACACGCCACTTTAAACAATTGTGTATATAAAAATGTATATTTATTTATTTATTTATTTATGTAAACGGGAAAAGTCCCTCTAGTACAAACAATAGCTTATAAAGAGAAGTAAAAAAAAATACATATACATATACAAATATATAAGGATTAATAGAAAAAAGAAAAAGAAACAAAAAATAAAAAGATTATACTTATGATAGATTATATTATAAAATAAATGATGAGTTTTTTCTTTCAACTGAAGGAAGTAAAATAATGATTTTTTCCTTCTTTGAGAAATGCAGACGACGCTTTCGTGATAGACTGGTATATTTACCATCGCATGTGGCAAAAGTGTATACAAAAACCGAGGATTTACACGATGATTTGTTCACGTATTGTATCATATATTCGGATTGAAGGGTTCAAATCCGAACACAACCAGTTCCTCTTTCAACGTTTGACAGAAAAGAGAAATTGTACTGGCCGCCTTATAGCGACACGTTTTAAGCTGTTATTTTCAAGAATGCACTGCGCAATATGCCGAAAATATACTACATGCACTAGCGATTTTAAATTTTAAAAATATTTTTATGTGTTCTCGTTATGCATATAAATATAAAATATACTGAATATATATATATATATTTCAAATCTGACCGTACGCTATATTTAATTCTACTGCGACTATAAATCAATGAATTTTCAAAGTTAATGATTTATTCACTGATAATGTAAATCAGATTAATATGCACTTTTAATTTAGCTTTAACTACGAACTATGTATATTTTTAAGAATAGCAACGCTCGAAAGTATAGTCTGTTAATTTTCCGACAATTATGCAAGATAAAAATATTTGTTTATTTAGCGAAAAATTTGGATTCCAGTCCTTGCAGTCCAGTAATTAAGTATTCTTCGGCGCGTCTATCCCGAATGTCGATGTAAAGATTTTCCGGTGGAAAAGCTGCAAGTTTAACGCGAAAAGTTTCTGCAAGTTTAAAAGCAAGTTCCCGATATCAAAAGCGCACGAGTATCTCCCTAGGTAATGCGTTTCGCTGCCGTGAAATGCAAAATTTAAACGTATCGTTAAACTATAGATATTCGAGCGCGCGATCCGTGTAATTTATAATTCATAATGATGAATCTGTAATATCGGGACCGAATCCTCGTTGTGTCAATTATGGTGCCAGGTACGGTTTACTGCTGATCGTTGCTGTACGAGAGATTAACGCTAGGACGGAAAATTAATTTATATACCTCGCGAAAGGTGATTAAGTGCCGCCGTAATGCCGGTATTATTGGAAATTCTCCATGACGGGAATGCATTATACCTATAATTTCTCTCTCTCGCTCGGCTCCGATCAACTTCGTCGCGTGAAATTATGCGTATATGAAATGTACGTTCGTACAAGTCCGCCGAGAGAGGAGACTCACCAATTGCATTACCTCAGAAATTCCACCCCTCAAAGCGGAAGATAAATAGCAAAGATTAAATATTTGATTTATATTCGGTATAGCAAATTGACAATATTTAGATCGTACCGCTTCTATCTAAATATGCTGTAAATGGTCGGACTTTCATAAAAAAGAGATAAATTGATACGGATAATTGGATAAAATTTATCAAAATATTTACACACATTTCGATCATTAATTTAATTAAAAACTGTTTTTTTTTTTTTTTTATTGCTTCCATTCAACTCAATTATATATACTCGTTAAATAAAATTATAAATTCTTCGTTAATATATTTGCGATAATAATTTGATTGTTCTCTAGATTTGTTTAAATTTGATGGGAGACGAGAAAACGTAGGGAATGAACGAGGAAGTGAGATGTATATGTATATAAAACAGAACGCACGTTTTGGTTTCATTAGACTTTTGCAATTTTTTTGGTAGATTTATTTTTTATAATGCACATGTTTCTCGTGAAAAAATTAAATTCCGTGTACGAAATTAGCATTTAGAGCTTTCACGTTTCGGTACAAAATTCATTGTGTGTGGGGGCAAGGACAGTCGACGGACGACTGTTATAATACTCGGGACACGCTCGGACGACGACGACGACGGCGTCGCGCCCGACGTTCGTCGAGGTCTTTTGATAGATTTTCTCTTCTTTTTTTTTCTTTTTCTTTGTCTCTCGAAAGTTGAACGTCTCCTCGATCGGGATTTCGGTTCTTTTCTCCCTGTTTTTTACCTTTTCTATTTTTCGTCCACGTCGCCGTCTTTCTTGTGTTGTGATATATATATATATATATATATATCACTTTAGTATCGCCTTTTACTCGCGTGAAACCCGAATCGGATCTAATTGACTGTCGCGACGTGATACCCCCTTTTATTGCGATTATTTTCTTCGGTAGACACGCGACGCGAATGCACGAAATGACGGAAATTTCGAGCGAAAAGGGACGCGCAAGTGTCAGGCTTCCCTTGTCTCCCAAAAATTTCTTCCTGGAAGGATGCATTTTTCGTTATCTTTTCTCAATAGGCGGTAACTTGGGCTCTTCTTTTTTTTTTTTTTTCGACGAGTGGAGAGAACCGAAAGGGACAATCGCCAATGACAATCGCGAAACTTTGCGACAACACGATTATTAATTCGCGAATGCACTCGGGGAACCGTAAATTTTCGCTCAGCCAGAAGCAATTTGCATATTTACGGATCGTCGTACGTTAAATCATTTCGAGAATCGCTATATGCATCTCTGAGGAAAAGTATTCGACGTACGAAGAACCGGCTTATGGAGATTGCGTTACAAAATTCCGCGCTTTTATACTTTCGGGAACTAATGGACCGCGTATCGAATTTTCCCCGCGAAACTTTCCCGATCGTAAAACCCGTCTATCTTTCTCTTTCTCTCTGAACTTTTGCGGGGAATAATGCGTTTCATGACCGGTCGCGATCGACTTGGTGCCAAAAACTTGACGACAGATAATCCGAAGGACGAAGCACAAACTGTGCGAGAGATCTCGGTTACTATCTTAGGTACCGTTTTTTTTTTACCGCGTTTAAGTTTAACTGCTGGATTCTCGTCGTTATTCTTTCTTTTTTTTCTTTTGGCTTTACGACTTTTATCGCTTTAACTCTGATATTCACTGTTAACACATGCATTGTTCTTTTTTTGCAGTTACAATCGCGCGCCCGTTCGGCGGGCTTGCTTGAAGTTTTTGCTTGTTTCGTGCCTCTTCTCTGCTGTCTCGAGAGGCCGGTCTCTCTTGTGTGGATTCTTTTGTTGTTTCTTTTTTTGTTTTATTTCTTTCTACCGTGTGTTTTTTTCGTGGGAACGCGCGGTTACGTTAGACAACAGAGGGTGATTACGTTAAACAACGCGGCCCGAAGAGTCGCCACGATTTTGTCCCAACGGACGCGGATTGCAATTTAATAGAAAAGCGGGAAACGCGAGAGCCACGTATACGTTGATAACATCTCGTGTCCGCTGGGTTCTTTCTTACAGAATCGAATAAAAAAAAAGAATTTTCGGCGACCATCGGCGCGGATCGATTTTCTCTCGATCGATTGCTTATATATATATATATTTTTTTTTCTACGCTTGTAAAAGTATAAATAACGCGCACATCTGCGTAACGTAACCGCGCGTTTATCTCTCTCCACTTGGCACCACACTCACGCACACACACCTTCTTCTCGTCTCATTACTCCTTTAAAGCGCTTCGCTTAGACTAAATCAATCGGATGTTTGACGTTTCTCAAGTACCAATTTCTCGATCTTTCCGATTTTTTGCTACACAAACAGAGATATTATGCAATTTTACGAAGACACACTTTGGGTTGCGGCCAGACAAAAGCGCTACTTCACAAACGGGATACGATATAGGATAATGAAACAATTAAAAACGATCATCGCGATTCATAGGATATTATCTTGGAATTAATCAGCTGGCGCCTAGGCAGGATGAGAAACTACCGCGTGTCAGAGTGGAAGTACTGGACAAAATATATTCGCGAACAATATTTTGAATACTAATTTATCTTTCAATTATAAACCACGTTAATACATTTTTTCATAATGCGAAAATATGTATATTCTGTGTATATATATATATTTTTTTTTACGTACGCTATATAATGCATTCAAATTCCAATATTATATTTATATTCGAGATCATTTCAGTCGCAAATATATCTTGTGCAATACTGATCGTTTTTTGAGCGACGAGCACAGACGACGGAAACAATAACACCATGTAATATCTGCAAGCTACACCCAAACGACACGAGAAATATTTAGAAGATTATTCTTCTTCTCCCACATTTCCGTGATATCTCGCAGACGTGTGTCGTCTGGATATAGAGTTTGAATTGGAAAAGAAATACGAATTTATTAAAAATTTCGCCAAATTATAAAGATAATTTTCTTGTTTTTTCTTTTTTTTGTACAGAAAGTAGACGTATATATTTCTTTTATTATCCCGTCGACGATACTACAAACTAAAATTTTAAAAATTAGTTTCATGCAAAATTATATAAAGTACGTTTTCTCTCTCTCTTAATTCTCTCTCTTTTCTCTCTCTCTCTCTCTCGTACTCTCATGACAGTCTACGTTATTCGTATTGTCAATCGAGCCGATGTGTGTGATACGCCCGGCTCTTGTTTCGAAAAGTCAAATCGAGTCGATTGCCGCATGCAAACGTTCAGTTGGTTTAATTAAAAAACGACTTGCCCGGTGCAGATAGTCGATCGAATGTCGGTTTCAGAAACAACCGGACGATTTACACACGTTCCGAACGAACGCGGAGGTTTGTGAGATTTTATCGGGTATCTTTTTCAGATTGCGAACGTCGCTGAGAAGTGCAATTACATTGATTGTCCAATGTAAATCATAATAGAACCAAGAAGAAGACTAATAACATCAATGATGCAGATATACTTCTGTCCTAGGAGAAGTCCTATCACTATTCTCCTTATTAATTCTACATTATCCTTTACATTATCGAATCTGAATGAATTTCAGAGTAGACGGAATCTCACAAACTTCCGCGTCCTAATTCGCGATTAATCAATAATGCGTAAAGTCAAAATAACAATAATCGCTAATTAATTGTACACCGCGGAACCCGCCAGGGGCTAGTATTGATAATTATAAAAAATATGGCCAAGATAAATGCTATTACAATAATCGTTTCTATATGTAACAAATCGCTTGTAAAGTATAAGAAAATTTGGACTCGACACAACCACATCATCATATTTGAGGCGCGTACCTCAAAATTGTACTATATTTATACGCTACACGCTTATTGATCAACGCAAGGTAAAATTGCAACCAAAAGAGCGAAAGCAATAACGGTAGTTAATTTTCAGATATATATGAGTTGAAATTAAACAATGATTTCGAGACAGACAAAAAATTCTCAAGTGCTACTCCATTCAATATCAATCGATTTTTCTTTGGATGAAAAAGTCGCCGAAAAGTGAAGAAAACTCGCGGAAATATATAGCAATAAACTCAAATATATCGCACATGAAACGATTTATAATGCGTTTTACCGGAGAAAAATCAGAAGTAATATAACAAGAAATACACAAAAAACAAAAAAAAACAAGTATATGTATATATATATCTCTCTTGTCGCGCTCGAATTCATCGCTCTGTACTCCGTAATTGCTTTACTCTTCTCTCTGCTGCTCTGCGCTCTATGGATTTTTATTATTAATTAACCGTCGTACAACGTCGTAATCCTTACGCGGTTTAATTATTCGATTATTAAATAAAAGAATCCGTTTAGAGAGGCGAACAATTTCTTCTTCGCCTCTCCATCGTTTCTTCGCCGTTATTATCCGCCGTGCGTGAAATTTCACAAAGTACAAAAAAAAAACAAAAGTTTTACTTGAAGGCTGAATTTTGTTTCGCCGCACGCTTCCTCTAATCGACGCATTCTTGGATTTTCATACATATCTTAATTGTAATTTGCGAGAGTGTGGAGTAGTGTTTGTTGATTTCTTATATTTTTTTTTCTTTTTAGTTTTTTTGGATTTTTTTGCAATTGTTTTATAATTGTTGTTGATATTGTTGTTGTTGTGTGTATAACGGGTGTTGGTGTTATATATTAAAAGTAGTTCTTCTTATGGTAGCAGCGCGTTTACTCTTTCTCGGTTAAGCGGTACTTTCCGTGGTGGTGTTTTGCACTGGTTGGCTCTCCTGAAAATATAGACATACGTCGAACATTAATTAAATGTGGAAAAGTTGCAAGAACAATATATTACGACGATAGTATATAATTATGCAACGCGTGCCAAAAAAAAAACCAAAATATATATATATGTCTTTGCCTTCGGTACATCTCTTTTACGATGCTGCGTAAGAAAGAAAAAAATGCAAAGTCTCTCTGGAAGGTAACGAGAACAAAAAGTAAGAAAGTGTTGAGAAACAGCGGAAGAAAAATAAATCTTAACGTCTACTTTGTCGATCACACCTAATGCTTGAAAGTGTAAGTGCGTAAGAACTGCGATAACCGAGACGAGCTCTCCTGCAAGATCGAGAAAAGAAGAGAATATAAAGCGCCGTTACCTGTGGAGCAGGGGCCGCGGCAGGTGCATCTGAATCTTTAGGTGCATCCGACTTCTGCTCCGACTGAAAAGAGTACAAAAAGACACGTGCAAACAGTGTGTGCTAAGCGCTACCGCTCTGTATTCGTCGATAGATTGCGTTCAGAGTTTCATCATTAAAAGCTCTCGTAAATGTCGAATGGAAATAAAAGCTTGCAACTACTAGGATTCATTAATGTTTCAATATTTCGCGCAGAGTTATATATACACATACATATATAATCTTATATATCTATTGTATATGTATAACTATATACGACCTCGTACGACTTTTATATGTACATATGTGTATGTATGTGTAAGAACTTTTGATTCGTGTTAGAGTGTCTTGTCGAATGCACATGGAAGAAAAAAAATAAATGTCAAGCGTTGATATAGAAATGAATATTTATAAATGTAACATATAGATGAAATTAATTATAAAATAATGTTGATGATGTGCATAGATTTCCGTAAAAAGCAAGCGTTCGATTGTAATTCATGAAATTCTATGGATTAGGCGTGGACAGATATAAAATGTGTTGACGCGAGTTGTACTGTCTTGAGTAGGAAAGAGAAGAACCAATAATACCTTGGTGGAGTTATCATAGGATTCAGGAGGAATATCGATGACTGATCGAAGGGAAGTCACAGAGGAAGAGGTGGGATTTGGAGACTTGCGGTTTGTGCCCGAGGATGGCAAGTTCTCAAGTCTGTTTGTCTGTTGGCTCGAAGTTGTACGAGGTCGTCGTATTAATCGTCGTCTGTAACGCGGTCGTGGATTCCTTCGCGAATTATCGATATTCTCGCTAATAGCCTCGCCGTCGTCGGTCACCTAATTTTTTATAATATATATCTCATTAAAATAATAGATCGAAAATGCTGTGATATAAAAGTACAAAACACGATATAAGAAGTACTGGTGACAGCCAAGCGCAGATATTAACTGCAATAGAATTATTTTTAAATTCCTCTATACTTATTTTGAACGTTTCAAGGATGGTTTAAAATGACCGAAACGTTCCAAATAAGTAGAAGAATTTAAAATAATTTTATTATACCTAATATCTGTGCCTATCTCTAACTAGCGCTTTTTATATATCTAATTTTTATTAGCTAATATCCGAATATTTTGACGATTACAGAAAATTCGTGTCTAAGTTAGTGGCTAAGATATTTCTGCTTTATTTGTACAAAGTGCAAAACGTGGAACAGAAATGGTTAATAAACAGCGCAGAACACATACTCCGTGCGTGAATAATGCATCGTCTATGACACAAGGGGAGGAAGATTACAGAATTTCTATATATCCTTGCTAAATATATAAACATAATTTTTTCAAAAAAGAAAAAGTGCATCTAAGCAAACTCAATGTTCTTGTATAGGTATATTTTTTTTACAAAATTCTTTTTTTTACGATAATAAGGATATTATACCGTGCAAATTTAAACAACTAAGTTCAAACTTGTGTAACTCTGTTTATTATCTGAACTAAAAATTGAAATAAATACGCGTCCATTTACAAGTCCATTGATTTCATGTAATCATACACAGCACTGCTGTGGGAGAAAGATGAGAAAAGGACAATGCCGTTTATAGGCGTAAGCAACTGAGGATATAGTGAATCCTGTTGTGAAATGTGATTAGTGTGTAATAGAAATTATAACATACACCAAAACTAATTTAAATAGGTTGCAGATAAGAGATGTGTACAGAGAGTATATCACCTAAAAATTCCGAGATCGCATATCTCGGAATTTTATCGCCTTGACGATAATAAAGAATGTTGCTGCTACAAAGAAATTCTAATTCAAATATACGATATTTTTCGAAATTAAAATATATCATTTTACGTATTATTTTTTTATTTAAATTATATATATCTTTAAATATGTTTACACTAATTGTAAATAAAAAAGAAAAAAAGAGAACCGTGAATAATTAATTTTGATTTAATAAAAATAGCTCGAATGACCAATTAGACAGAGTTAGAGATACTAACCCTTACCTGGCCATCCTGGCTGCGAGGACGTCGTGGTGGACCACCACCTCTTCCTCCGCGGAAATTACGGCGGAAGTAACGCCGTGACGGACCGCCACGTCCACGACCTCCACCGCGCGGCGGTACGTTACCCTCGCCGTTTCCTTCCACTTGTTCACCACCATCGCCGGTGTTCTCTCCTTGCTGTGCGGGACCAGAACGCCGTCCTCCGCGATAATAACCATCATAATGACGCCGCAACCTATAACGACGCTGTTGCTGCGGTGCTTGGCCCTCAGGAGCATTCGCGTCATCACCGCTCTTTCCCTCACCTAATTTATATCCAAGAGAATAAGTTATTCTTAACAATTCTCGATAGATAAACGAAAGTATAATTGGAATAAAAGTGACCCGGCGTTTACCTTGATCGTAACCCTCCTGGCCTTCGCGTGGTCTACGATTTTGAGGTCGGCCGTTGCCACGTCTTGGATATACCCAATGGATACCGCGATATCCACGACGCTTGTCCGCGGCGTAAGGCGAGCCCTTCACTGCTTCACCTGCTGGGCCGGTGACGTTTGCAGCTTCGTGCCCTTTCTCGCCGATGACGACGTCGAATTCGACGACCTCGCCATCTCCGACGCTACGCACAGCCTTCCGCGGGTTGTTCTTGACGATGGCCGACTGCAATTACATACGTCACATTTTAGTACACCGGCGAGAGCTTGAAAATTAAATATATTCAATATATCACGTAACATGAAATGTGAAAAGCTTACCTGATGGACGAACACATCCTCCTTAGTGTCATTCCTGAAACAATCAAACGAGCAATTGTATTAAAAAAAACAATCGATATAATTATATTTTTATGATAATTAAGATTGATTATCCGAAATATTTATACAAAAGTCAGTTAATTTCTTTAAATAATTTTATAATATATATATATATATATATATATATATATATATATATAAAATATAATTATTTTTTCTAATCTCTCTCCGTAATTAATAACAGCGAAAAATCGCAACGCTACGTTTCAAAGAATTTTAATTTTAAATTTCCAATTCGTTTGCAATTTATATTTGTGTAAAAAACCCCAGGAACTTTATTAAATCGTTGAAAAGCGAAATAATCACGTCCATCTGTTTTTTTGTGCACGTATCGCAGCGTATAATGGAAATTTGATTTAATTGTATCAACACACGTGTTCGCATTCCCTACAAAGTTTCACGCATTGTACGTGATACACCCCACGCATTGCGAATATGTATGTCCTACGCATGAATTCGCGAGCGTTGCGGACGTAATCGGAATCCATGAAGCTGCGTAGCAAAGCATAGAGAGTTGAAAGGTCGTCGAACCCCGCGGTCTGCACACAGAGTAAAGAGAGAAATACACAAACCCATACACAAACACCATCTGCTACAACTAGACATCCCTCTGCCTCTCTTCGTTTGCGCGCGATTAGCAAAAGGTGAATCAAGTATGGAGAACACGAAGATCGCAAATCAAATGTTCAGAGTTTTTTTTCCCAATCACCGAATTAATGGAAATCGATATTTTCAAATAAAAATTCCAAATGTCGCGCATTTTTTTTTCTTTACGAAAAAATATATTCTCTCTTGTGGATTTAAAATTGTCAAAAATTAAAAGCAATACTCTTGTGTCTAAATAAATATTTGTTTTATTATACGTATAGTATGATTAATATTTTAATTTATCGTATTAATTAAATATTTAAAGTTTGCATTTTCCTAGTCTATATCAAGTAGTATCTATATTGCCGAATTTTGATGTACGTCCCAGAACATGGATCGATAACGAATATGGATATCATCCAATGGGTATCGAGACGGAACGTTGCTCTTCCATTGTGGTAGTCGAAGTTCATCGAATTCGAGATGAACACGACGAATGAACAATGGATTCGCGTCGTTTTAGTAAAGCTTATTAACTTTCAATGAATCTTCGATTATTTGAATTCAATGAATTTTCGCATAAGACTGAAACACGTTCGCTTCTAATCTCAATTGTAATTAGACACCGTAAAATGTAGCTTCTTCTTATATAACGAATTTAAAATAATTTTATGTAATCAAATTGTACATTTTTTATATAATTATTTTGGTATGTGATATCTCTGTGAAAAAACAAGTTCTCATGAATTTTGAGTAAGCGAAATACATTAAATAAAAAAAAAATTAAGATATACAGATTGAATTCTCACTGTGAATAAAATATAGCTTTTAGAAATATTCTTTAGAAATATTCACAATACACTATACCCTTCTTTATTATGTACAAACAAAAAAAAGGTCGAACTATTTTATTTTTTCAAAAGAAACAAGGACAACTGACAATCGACTAAAATACAATTCTGTGTTTCTAAATAGTTGTATTGACCGTTTTTAAAATTTTACGACCCGTTACCGTCAATGTTGATAAAATTCGTATTCGAGAGAGTGCAAGCAGGTAAAAGCATTTGTACCTCAAAAAGGAAAAAAAAAAAAAAGGCGAAACTGTTTCCCACTCCCTGGCATGAAAAAAGAATGTAAAGTACCTAAAAGAATTTAAAAGAATCTACACGAGAATTTCTTGTTATGAATCGTTCCGACGTCATTTTTTCTACACTGTAAAAAAATATGTAATATATTACAATATGTAATAATGTATAAAATTACAAAAATTATATACAATTACATATGTAATATATTACATATATAATTGTATATATGTACACATATATTTTGTAATTTTGTAATGTACGTACAATGTAATTGTTTACATGTATAATATATTACATATGTAAAAAAGTCATACATTACATAACAAAATTATATGATAAATAATAAAAATGTATATATATTTTCATTATTTCCTGTGCAATTTTACATTTAGTTATATATTACATATATGGTTTCCCATATTTTTTTTACAGTGTATCGCGAGACAGCCGGAAGACGTCATTGTCTGCGCGCAAAGTTCCGCGTGTGCAATACGCGGTAAAACAGCTTCGCCTCTACGAGCATGCGCGAAAATTTTCTGGCCCTCGGCCAGATGAATAGAAGGACCTCGAAATAGCGCGCGGCGAGAAACCGACTCTACAGCCCGTACACGTGCCGAATGAAGCGTCTATTTTCCGTACGGCAGAGTGCCAGGTCGAGGTTGCAGGTCGAACCTGTAGCTGAGAAAGAGAGAGAGAAATGATTTTCCTAATATTAGAGATCACTGTTTCCCCACATCCGCTAAAATCGTTATCAGTCTTGTGAAAGTCTCACGTTCTGAATTTTACATTCGCAGCGCGGAGACGCGATATGAAATAATTAAAACGAGAATCAATATAGTGAATTATTTCACATATACGTATATGTATATACTACACTGACGAGTTTCTCAATTTCTGAATGTAATAAGAAAATTAAAATTAAAAAACAGTACACATTCGATATTGTTGATAAGAATGGAATTCTGTATTAAGAAAGAAGTCTAGTTCATTAAGAAAGAAAATATATGTTTGAAAAATGATACTTTGTGAATTGATAAATGTTAAATAAGTCTATCTGTTAAAGAAATATTTTTCTATCTTGCTGCAAAATATTGACTAAAAAAATACACGTCAAGTTATCAACGACTGACCCGACTCATTTATATATAAATGTTACAGACGCAGCTAGCAGTAGATTTAACACGTGGGCTAAAGTTTTCCCAAGAAATAATCGTAAGCATCAACCAGTTAATTTATTCTTCTTGAATAATTTAACGCATGATGCAAATCGCAAGATTTATTCGGTAAACGCGCCATTTGAATGAGAGAAAATATTTAATTCTATGGACATACAATTTCACGGACAAAAAAAAATAAAACAGCGAAAGAGAATCAGATATTTACGACGTGTATGCATTCTTAAGAAATTTCCATGGAAGGTGGAGCAAAATGAGTGTTTGAATATTAATTAGTATATGACTAATCCTTAGGCGAGACGCCCACACAAACGAATGGATATAAGTGTTTTCCTTGTTAGTGTTGCATAAAATGAGGAATGTTGCAAGTAATAAAAACAAATAGAACAAAAAATTGTAAGATAAAATAGATAAAATTATTACTGACCTATTGATGAACCCGTATCCACTTTTGACGTTGAACCATTTTACGGTTCCTGTCACTTTGTTTGCTGAAATAAAAAAAAAGTATGATTCAAATATATAATTTCATGTAATTTATAATTTATAATTTTCGTTAAACTTTTTGAAATATTTTTATACACAACATTTCATGCACCGTATTATATAACATATAAATTAGAAATAAAAAAGAAATTAGACTATAAGAAAAATTATTCAAATATTTAAAGCACTAAAAAAGAAAATGAGTCAGAGATATCATCTATACTTAGTATTATTAAAATGTGAAAGCGACCTTGAAGAAGAAAATAACGCTTAACAGAAAGAATTTATCACGTATTTATTCGTCACCGTTCAAAATCGAAATATAACGACATATATTTTTATAATATGGTGACTAATATTTCTGAGAACAACGCATTAAAAAGATAGTAGAAAAAATTAGATAAAATATTTAGTTGAGACAAAAATAATAATTCTTAAAAACTGTGGGTTGAGACAAAAATAATAATTCTTAAAAACACTTTTTCCTAAATTTTTAAGTTAATTTGTTTCTAGAAATTTAAAAAGTAGAAAAGAGCTGTTTAAACTTAAAAAATTTACCATAAAAATGAATTTTGTTTAAAAGTAATATGCATGTATTATTATCATTTTATTATTATCTACATATATAATAATACATATAGCTTGATCTTGCTTCTTGGCGAAAATACGATAAGACTATCTTAATAACAGTTACACGCGACCTTGAAGCAGTGTAACCCAAACAAAGGTCGAAATTAGTATCACAACGATAGATCCAACGCGATTGTATCCATGAAATTCCTCGGATCGAAAATGAGAATAATTTTATTCACACATTCGCTGAAATTCTTACATTTAACGAGAAACATGAAATTGATACGACAATTCTAATATGAATATATCCATTTTTAGCAATACATATATACATATATATATATATATATATATATATATATATATATAAAATCTTTAATCATTTTTTAAATATAAATTCTTGAAAAAAATAGAATAAAAAATTTTTGCAAATAAGCAGTATTCGCTCGATTAAAAGTAGAAGGAATTTTCGAGCCAATTTCCCGGACCAAATTTAACCTTCACCAATATTTTCGTTCCAAGAAACAAAGAGTGATACACACACAATAGAATGTTTCTCGGCGAAGGAATTTCTATCGGCATACATCGAAACTTTCGGAAATAGCGCCAACAAAATTCTCCAAAAAATTCTCGGAGAGATCGATCATCCGGCGAGTTCCGCGTCGCAATTGCAATTCGCTCCAAGAAGCACGCGGTCGCGACGCGCTTACATAACGAAAACGTGGAGAGAGAAAGAGAGAGAGCGCGCGCGGGACACCGGATATCTCAGATTCGCGCGCGCGAGAAAAAAGATCGATAATCTCGCGGACGGATCTCTCGCCGCGGAGAAGCTCCTCGTCGTCGTTTTCGACGATTTTCAGGTTATAAGGAGAAAGAGAGCGAGAGAGAAAGAGAGAGAGACGAACGACGCGACGTCGGTCGGGGCAAAAATCGATGGTCGACCGGAAGGTCTCCATGAAGAGGAGATCCTCCTCGCGCGAAAGAGACGAAATTCGCGTATCAGCTGATGGGAAATGGACGACGGCGCGGAGTCGACCGCCACGTTCTCGGCGCGAGGAACGGACTCGGGAAAGGAAGCTCGAGGGAAGTTTGGCGCGATTTCCACTCGCCGGCCACATGGCCCCGGACGGAGAACGCCGCGAGTCGCGCGGACGCCATTACGGGCGGAGGAACGCGGCGATTTTTCGGGTTGCGGAAAATTCGCGGCGCGCGACCGGAATGATAAACGGCGGGCACTTACCGATGACCATCTTCTGCTGGACAGCCTTAGGTGGTTCCGGCTGCTTTTCTGTCTCACCCATGGTGTTAAGGTGGAGTTAGACGCGATAACGTCCGTTCCTTGATGTTACCTATTCTCCAGTAATGATGTTAACTCTGCACCGCCAGCAATGGACGTGCTTCCACTGCTTCCAAGCGACCGGGTAAACACCGTGAGCGCTCTGTAAGGCGCCGCCTGATTGGCCGGCTCCCACCGAGCGGACGCCGCGCCGGCCAATCGCGCGCGCCGAGCTGTCACGGCGAGACTCGAGCGCCGCCGAGCGACACCGAAGCGAGCCGCGCTTGCGCGGGACCATTTTCAAGCTTCAAATTTAACGAATCTCCCTCCCGTGTCCTTGCGATTTTCGAGCCCTATGACCTCTGAATTGTTTTCCGTCTTAAAGGATAAATGGAAAACAGACAATAAAAAGAGAAAATGCAGGTAGGGAAATATTTGTTTGGGAAGAGAATGAAAAATGTGACGTTTATAAAGTATTTGGACGGAATATGGATATAGGCACGAAAAGAAACTTTAAGACAATTGTAAAAAAAGGAATTTTTATATTTTTCATACAAAGAAAAAGGATGGATCCTGCTGGGTCCTGCTGTGGCAGGTAAAACAATTTTGAAAAATAGAGACAACTCAAAAGAAAACTTTCTAATTTATAGAATCTTGTTTTTGTTATGGGTTTAAAAAGACATCCATTTGAAAAATAAAGAAAATAGAAATGAAAAGAAAACTTTAATAAACTTATGCTCTTCTTAAATAACGTATATACATTATGTTTGATATAAGAGAGAATATGATTCTTCATATATATTATATAATTATAGTAAAAAAAATATAACATACACATCAAAACTATATGTTGTAAGAATTGTGTACAAAGAATAACATGTATCACTTAAAATTCTTAGATTACGTATCTCGAAATTTCATCACCTTGATGATAATAAAAAAAGAATATTATTGCTATAAAGAAATCTAATTTAAGATATTTTCTAAAATCAAATTATATTATTTCTCGTACCATATTTTATTCAAATTTTATATCTTAATATTTTATTACACTATAATTATAAATGAAGTAAACGCGGATATTTTTTTCATTAGACCTATATTTTTATTTATTAAAGGTAACAAGAATGACCAGATAGAGATTAGAGAACCCTTACCTGGCCATCCTGACTTCAAGGACTTTGTGGTGGATCACCATCTCTTCCTTCGAAAATTATGGAAATAACGTCGTGACGAATATATATTCACAATTCTATTCAATTATACGCTTTTGCTACATATATAGTTGCAATAATATATTTATCCTGCGTTATAAAATGTATATAAGAACACATAATATTAATAATATATCTACATGTTGATTATGATAATGATATTACAAAGAAATTCATGCAAAAAATGCATTATTAGAATGAAATAAAAACATATATAAGTATTACACATTAATAGTCATTATTGAACTGGTGATCAAATCTGTCATAAATAATAAATATAATTTATATTTTATTCTAATTTTTTATACAAAAAGTTTCCGCCATACATACTTGTTTTATCCTCGTTGAACTTTAATTTAAATATTATCATACTCGCATTAAATATTATCTTTCTCACATAAATGGAAGAACATTTGCTTACACACAATTTTAACTCATTTTAAAGTGACACAGTAACAAAAATTGGGAAGGCAAGATAGATGTGTGTTGCTAACTTTCTATTACTTAGATCAAAACTATATTTTTTTAAGAGATATTCGATATGCACAGCTTGTAATGATACAAAACTTTCTATAAAATAAGAAGTGTTATACACTCAGGAACGACAAAATGAACGCATATATATATATATGTTAATGTACGTGAAAATAATAAGAATATCGTATGTACCAGTTATGAGTTACATATATTCAGAAAAAAATATCTGTCGATGGAACTTAAGATGTAAACTGATATAAACATAGAAAAAGAAAATTATAATGATAAATTAGCATAATCATAAATTCTATTAATCTGTTATCTATTAAAATCATAAAAGAGGCCATGACATGTAAAAAAGTTTCAGTCGTATCTGTAAGGCCTTAAATAAATCGACCAATCACAGTGAAACATTTTTACTATGTTGTGATCATTTACTATGTTACGACTAAAATTTTTCCGCAGGTTATGATCTGCAAAGACAAAAACTTGTCTACACAATTGTTTCATTATTCCTTAATTACAAATGTACAGATAAATAAACTTGTACGTTGAACTTTTGAATCATATGTTGCATTACATTGTGTAATACCATTGTGAGCACAAACTATTGTGTGAATTTGAAGCACTCTTTGTAAAATTTATGTAATTTCTTTCTAATAATTAGACTGAGCTAAAACATTAGATGTTACTATACATATGGGTTTGTTTTATCTATATTTGATGGATATTCTCATCAAATTGATTTAATAATATGGAAGAATGAGTATATAAAGCAGAGAAACTATAATTCGAAAAACTAATATTTCGTAAAAAAGAACATTTTTTTATGTATGTGATAAACACACATATATATGGATATATACATATCTTATATCTTTTATATGTATATAGGTATATAATACATATATATATATATATATATATATATATATATATATATATATATATATATATAGACATTTTATATCTTATACTAGAGTATATAAAAAATATAAAATCATAAAGATATGAATCTTTAAGAATTTTATATGAAGGTACTATTACATAAAAAGAAATAATAAAAAATTTAAATACAAAAATTTATTAATCGTATATACCTTTTTGAACTAATTTCTTTCTTACTCATTTTTCCATATTTGAAATAAAGAAAATTTTAGATTTAAATTAGACAAAACACCCAATGTATGTACTTATTATATATATATATACTTATATATGTACAGAGTAGAGACATTTAGCAATCCCGTCACCGAACATACTTTATAAAATGCGGCAACGAACCACTTATTACTTATTATCTTCACAATATATAATTTTTTGTGTCATATGATTTATCAAATTTATTAAATATCGAATGCGATATGCGCATTAGTTTTATGTTTCATACGCACACGAAATTAAAAAATTATAATTAAATAAACACTCCAAATATATATTTCAAACAAAAATATGCACTCAAATGAGCGACGTTTACATTCTCCATCATCTTGGTTTTCGTGTTCGAATTGTCCTAGATCGCGGTGCGGTGGATCCACTTCCGATGTTGAACATACCAGGCGTGGAAGGGTTGAAGGTCGAAGGTGCTGTTGGTGTTCCGAAATTAAGCGCAGGAGCCGTTGACTGTGGTGCGGTAAAATTAAATCCTGGTGCTGCTGAAAATAAAAAAAGTGACAGTATTTGCAACATATAATTGAGTCAAAATGTTCGAAAGAAGAACATGACATTATATAATCAAAAATAATATTTCACAAGAATTCATGATTTTCGTCTTGTATCTGAAATTTAATTCGCCACATATAAATTCAATGGTGTTTAGATAATTATATTAGTAATAAAATAATTTATTCGAAAATTACTTTATACCTGATTTAGGAGCTGTAGATCCAAATTGGAACGGAGCAGACGATGCGGCCGCCGAATTATTATTTCCAGCGTTGAAATTGGAACTACCGAAGGGGAATCCAGTGTTCTGCTGCCCATCTTTCTGATTGCTTCCAAAGACGAACATAGCATTTGTGTTATTGCTCGCACTATTAGCGTTGTTGGTCCCGAAGGCGGGAATCGAAGGCGACGTAGATGTGCCAGCAAAGCCCGTCGTAGTCGCGGATGTTGCGAATGGAGATTTGTTATCACCGAACGTGATGCCGCCACTTCCTGCGGACCCAAACGTGAGGCTCGAAGGATTTTGCGTGCCGAAGGTGCTCGTTGTCGCAGAGGGGCCGAAGGTCGCGGCACCAACAGGCGTGGAATTCGTCCCGAATATGGGTACCGATGTGTTCTTATCGGTCGAACCGAATATATTAGTCGTACCACCGAAACCCGGTGCTACCTGCGCTGTTCCTACGCTTGATGTTCCAAATGCGGGCGTCGTGTTGCTCGTGCTGTCGAAGCCGGGGGTGATTGTACCAGTGGAGACATTTCCGATATTAAATGTGGACGCGGTCGTGCCAGCTTGCGTGGTTGCACTGAATAATGGTGATGTCGTGCTGCTGAACATGCCGCCTGTTGTGCCGAAAGACGGTGACTTGGTCTGTCCGAAAATCGGCGTGTTGCTACCAAACATCAAAGGTGCTGTGGTGGTTGAAGTCAAATTGGCGTTAGCACTGGCGAACAAACCGGAACTAATCGTACTACTTGACGAAGGCGCAGTGCTGGTCGTCGTTACGAAGATCGAAGGCACCGTGGTCGTCGGGCTGTTGAATATGCCAGTAGTTCCCGGTACCGTAGCTGCAGTTCCAAAAAATGACTGACTATTATTGCTCGTCGAGCCGAAGATATTTGTGCTCGTCGTCGTATTCGACGTAGTGGCGAAGATGGACGTAGTGGACACGCCGAATTGTGGGACGGCGATTGTAGACGTGCTAAATTGCGGAGTGATGCTCGTGGTAGACGCGCCAAACGCGAGAACAGCGTTATTTTTCATCACGCCGAAATTACTTGCATTGCTGGTGGTTGCAACTGGTAGAACCGCAGCTGTAGACGTCGCATTTGAAGTGTTGGAAGAGCCAAAGGTGAACAAAGATTTGTTGGTAGATGAAGCAGACGTCGAGGAAGTGGTGGACGTGAGCGAGAACGCAGGTGTATTCGATAATCCGGGTATCGTCGTTGCTAACGACGTGGTATCCGTGGTATTCGTAAATGAGTTACTTGCGGTGGTCGTCGCCAAAATATTAGATGTAAAATTAAAAGATTGAGTCGTAACTTGCGACAATGATGTCGTCTGGCCGCCCGAGGGACTTCCGAAGGAGTTCACTTTCGACTGAATGTTACCATCAGATTGACCGAACGTGAAGGTATTCGACTTTGGAAGTTGCGAAACAGCCGAACTGTTGCTTCCGAAAGCGAATAAAGGTGGAGCCGTAGATATTGTTGTTGCAGGATTATTCAACGTGCTGCTTGCAGTACTGTTAAAACTGGATGTGGTGGCACCGACTGATTTTGAAGTTGTTTTAACCGGCAATATCATCATCCCAGGAGACGATAAACTTGACGTTATAGTTTGAGCAATCGTAACCGGAGATGAAAATGATTTGCTGCTACCAAAAGTGAAGGTAGGACTAGCCTGTGTAGTAGTATTGATTGCGGTGGATAAGCTAACGGTTGCACTTGTAGTAATAATGTTATTCGTCTTGATATTCACGTTTGTTGCAGCGCTAGGATTTACAGATGCGAATGCCGAGCTCGATGGCGTTTTATCGACCGGTAGGAAATTAATAGCCGTTGACGAAGATGTTGGTGTAGTAGCAGTAGATAGCGCAAAAGTACTGCTGTTGGATAAACTAGTAGTACCAAAGTTCGGCAATGTACTCGACGTTGTAACTGTTGTTTTCGGTTTGCTGAAGGCGAAAGTTGGTGCTGTACTTGGAGTCGAAGTGACAGTTTTTTGTAAAGATTCCGTATTCACAATCACGGGCATAAGTGGTATAACTTTCGCTTGATCGGTTGTTCCTTTTGTTTCGGGAATACTTATCGACGGCATGCTCGATTGTACTGTAGTATTCGGTGTAATATTCGGTGAAATATTCGGTGAAATATTCGGTGCAATATTCGATGTAGTATTCGGTGCAGTACTCGATGTAGTATTCGGTTTAACATTCGGTGAGCTGAAAATTATAGCTGGTTTTGTGCCGAGTTTCGCGTCGAAACTCGACGAAGAGAAACCACTTGGAACAATAGCCGCGGTGGATAGTGGTGTAGTGTTGATGTTGGTCGTGGTCGTCGAAGAATTGAGGGTCGCACAAATGACTGAACACGTGACTGGTGGCGTAATTGTCGCATTAATATCGTCCGCTTGAATAACAACATCCGGATTAATTTTGTTCTCCGCTAAAAGCACAAATAAGAAGTTGTAATATGAGATAATGGGGAGAAGAAGCAGAAAGGAAATCTTAGAAGCAAAATGAATGATAAGCACTTGTTACGTGCATAAGAAATTATTTATGATTTATAGAATGTACTTTGATGTGTAATATTATATATTTACCTTTTCCCGATATTGCATCAAACATACTTTGAAGTCTGGCCTTCATATTAGTTCGTCTCATATTTCGTATGTCCTCCCTCTTTATCTCTTCCACATTATCCGTTGCAAATTTAACTTTTATGTTACTTGGTTCTTCTACGAGCGACTTCAACTGTTCGTTACGTTCCGGTTCGGCTCTCATAAATAGCTTTTCTGTCAATTTGACAGAACTTTGATAGGATTTTGACGGAGGAACAGATTTTGCATCGTTAGTTTCGGTGGCAGCCTTTTTTGTAGCTTTGTGAGTCACTACTGATACTGCTTTATTTAAGTTGCTTTTTAATTCTCTAGATGACTTCAATATCCCCTTCATCAGAGGAAATTCTTCCATTTTATTAGAATTAAGTGTGTCGACATTTTTCGAATATATTTCCTTAAGTTCAGCTTTATCTGCATGACTTGTATCTAAATTTTGAGTTTGCAATGCGGTATTACTGGGACGTGAACTTTCCAATGACTTGAAATGCTTTTCGAAATCGGGTGTCCCACTACGTGAGAAATCAACTGTGAAAGAATATTAATAAAAATTAATCTGTGTTGAATATAAAAATTACTGATATCTAATTAATAGATAAAATTTAATACTTACCTGCTTTTCTTTTAACGCCAGTGGGAACATTCATACTGGAACTCAGTGAATTCAAGATATCGTAACAGGACTGTGTTTTCGTACGTTTTATAGGTCTGGCAGATTTGCTCTGAGGAGAAAAATCCTCTTCCGATTTGGATGATTCGTCTCTCCCACGTTTCTGCTTGTTTTCTTCCAGGATCAATTCTCTTTCCTCGTTGAAGAAACTGTCTGTTTTTTGCTTCTTAGCAACATCAAAACTGACATCATCCGTTGATGCGTGTCGTTTTAATGATATCTCCTTTAAGACCTGGACGACACTTGTAGGTGACCTGTTCTCTGTATGACAAATATTAGACAGAATCTTTTGCCTTTCCGGTGGAGAATACTTTGCCACATCTGGTGCTGCTACCCTAACTGTCACAGGCATTCTCATCTTTGTAGATTTCGCATTCAACAAAGGAATTGGACTCGCATAAAGATTAACTTTCGGAAACTGTCCAGTGCCATACTGAGATTGATGGATTAATTTACTCTTTGCTTCCGTAGCGTACTTGGTGAGTCTCGTTGTAAGACCTGGTGATGTTACATCCGTGTACACCCTTAAACAGAAAGATGTGTATAGTAATCTTATTACGATCATTTATAGAAAGATAAAATTAAAATATATACATCTCGCAAACAAGACATGACTAAATTGAATAAATTTATAATAATTCTAAATATAAAACATTGCTTAATACAAATATATAGAAATTTGTCACAATCTTATTAGGATCATTTACAGAGAAGTAACAAAATAAAAGTATGATATACACTTTGCAAATAAGAAATAACACAACTAAATGAAATCAACACTTACTTTGGATCAATATTGTATCTTGTCGATGCTAACAATGGTCCAGCGACAGTCTGGACAGTTTTGATACCCGCTGGTCTGGGACGCATCGCAGGACTGATACTCACACCCCAAGGAGAGCCCTCCGGACTGAACTGGGTGACATTCTCACTATAGCTCAATCCGTAAGCCTGAGTATTCATAGAAGAGATCTTCTTCGAGGAAATCCGGCGTAAATCAGGATCAACGTCGCCGTTCCTAAAAGTCCCCTCTCTGTCCCCAGGTTCGAGCACCGGCGTGGAAGTGTGCTTGGCAGTTCCGAACTGCTGCTGCGACGAGCGATCGCTGTCACCGACGTCGTAGAACCTGCCGTCCACCGCGAGCTTGTCATCGCCGTGCGGACGGTAAGGAATGCGCGGGATCGGGCTCAATTGATCGATCGAGCCGAACCTGGACGTCGGCGTCGAGGAGTCTCCGCGAGGCTTGACGCACGGCTCGCTGCTCAACTGATAAGCGCTCGTGCGTCTCTTGCTGGACATCCTGAACGGGAAATGTTCGCGGTAATAACGACTCGCACCCTGGCCGAGCTTACGCACTTGTCCTTCACCGTGGGCGTAGAGGACGCGGCTGGCGGCGACGAGGTCGCGCGCCGCCTCGCTCAGGTGGACGAGGATCTGGTACGCGCGCGGCGACACCAGGCTGTCGTTCGCGAGCAACGAGTAGCAGGCGTAGACCACCAGCAGGAGGGTGAGCGCGAGCGCGAGGACCGCGCCCCAGGCGTTGTAGAGCAGCACGCACCCGCACGTCACGCTTATCAACACCACGGCAGCCCGGTTACCGAGGTCCCACATAGTACTCCGCTTCAAAAAGATAACCTCCCCATGTTTGAAAAGAGCACATTCACCGCAATCCTCGCGGAACTTGCGCCCGCTGGCGATGAGATCATCGATATAAATCGATATCGTGCGCGCGCGAGCCCATTGGCGGGAAACGAACCGAGTGCGAAGGTCTCGATTCCCTCAGAAACGCGCGCGATTCGTATTTCCTCAAAGTTTATTAGACAATTATTTTATATCTAATTGCATAAAAGACGCGTAATCACGTTAATTGTATTAATAAGAAATTAGTAGAGTTAGTTTTATTATTATTAAATGCACTTTTTTTCTACTATACAATTTATTGTAATTACAGTCTTACATAAATATAAATAAATGAAAATTGCCTTTGGTCAACTGAATAAATAAATCAAATTTAAATTTCCTACTGGCGATATCACACGAAAATTTAATACATAAATAAATGAATTAAATAATAAAATTTATGTTAGAATTATATTAATGTTATTACGTAATTATGTTATAATAATAAAATTAATAAATATATTATGATTTATTTATAAAAAAAATAAATAAATAATAAATATATATATTTATATTGAAATAATAAAAATTATGTTATTATTTTATTTTTACAAATTATAAACTGTTATGAATAAGTACTAATTTATCGAATTTCTCGCGCATGCGCGTGGAATTGATATCACGATCGGAACGGCGCACACGTGACAGTTCGGGACGTCAAGGGAGAAGCGCGCGAGCGTGATAACCTAGATTCGTAGCACGCCGGTCGCAGGGAAAATGTCGTGGTTGTTCGGCTACCGTAATTCACAGCCGCCGCAGGATTTCTCGCAGTTCGTGCAACCGCCGTCACCAGGAGGCGACGGCGACGGCGGTGCTCCTCCGTCGAAGACGTACAGCAGTTCCATGGAGGCGTACAGATTCGACTCGGCCGCCTTAGAACGGGCCGCCTCGGCCGCCAAGGAACTCGAACGATCCAGTACGACGTTTCTTTTCCTTTGTCGTTTCCTCGGGCGAGAGTAATGCCATGCGCGAATTACGTAAGCGGGGATTTCTGAGGTTAGGAGAGCCGCGCACACGAGGCGGACGGACACGTCCTCGCGTGCGCGAATGACGCAACTTTCCGCGGCGATTAAAGATTTTTCCGAAATGCCGAGGACCCGGATCTTTCTAAAGGACACTGACGAACCGATGACAATATCATTATTATTGACTGTATGCTTATTAGTTACTTGCCATTTGCGATTTCATATACGTTTTTTTTTTAAATTATTGCATAGAGATATTATTGCTACAAAGGTATAAATATCGCTTTTGGTCCAATATTTAATAGAGTACATATTAAATATAATTAGAATGATTTTCTATTATATTTGAATTTGAGAAATTATATGGTTGATTATATTGTTATTACGTCTTTTCTTAAATTATAGCATATAGATATTATTGCTACAAAGGTATAAATATCGCTTTTGGTCCAATATTTTATAGAGAGTACATATTAAATATAATTAGAATAATTTTCTATTATATTTGAATTTGAGAAATTATATGGTTGATTATATTGTTATTATGTCTTTTCTTAAATTATTGCATATAGATATTATTGCTACAAAGGTATAAATATCGCTTTTGGTCCAATATTTTACAGAGAGTACATATTAAATATAATTAGAATGATTTTCTATAATATTTGAATTTGAGAAATAATATGATTGAATATATTGTTATTACGTTTTTGCTTAAATTATTGCTACAAAGGTATAAATATCGCTTTTGGTCCAATATTTTACGGATAGTACATATTAAATATAATTAGAATGATTTTTTATTATATTTGAATTTGAGAAATTATATGGTTGATCATATTGTTTTTACGTCTTTTTTCAAATTATTGCATATAGATATTATTGCTATAAAGGTATAAATATCGCTTTTGGTCCAATATTTTACAGAGAGTACATATTAAATATAATTAGAATGATTTTCTATAATATTTGAATTTGAGAAATTATATGGTTGATTATATTGTTATAAATTAAATTGTAACTTACATTTGTTAATTTGGTAATTATTGAAAGTGTCAAAGATATTCTTAATGAGATTGTATAAATATACTCATGACAAAATGATTTAATTGTAGAACATGCAAGAGAAGCTTTGGATCTATCTAAAATGCAAGAAACCACGAGACAAGTGGAATTGCAGACTGAAATGAAAAAATATGAAGCCAGTATTGAACAACTTAAATCGGAGCAAAAGCGAGTGGAGGGTGAGGAAAGAAGGAAAACCATACAAGAGGAGACCAAGCAACATCAAATGAGAGCGCAGTATCAAGATCAGTTGGCTAGAAAACGTTACGAGGATCAATTAATGCAGCAACAAAAGATGAACGATGAGAATCTGAGAAGACAAGAGGAATCGGTAGCTAAACAAGAAGCCATGAGGAAAGCTACGATAGAGCACGAGATGGATTTGAGGCATAAGAACGAGATGAGGAAACTAGAAGCGGAATTAAAGGCCAAAGCAAAGATCGATAGAGAAAATCAAGATCTTAATTTGGAACAAATCAGATTAAAAGCTTCGGAAAAGAGGATTACCGTTTTGGAATCTATCAAGTAAGCAACTAACATCATTTATATTTCAGATTATAGTTCATAAATTTAATTTCATAATTATTACATCTTTCAGAACAGCCGGTTCAGTATTAGGTTCGGGAGCCAAGGCCCTGTTGGAGGATTGGGACAAGATCCTCGCGGCAGCGGGCGGTCTGTCGCTTGTTGCCTTTGGAATATACACTGCCAAGGGTTCGACCAGTGTGGCATCGCGTTACATCGAGTCCCGCTTAGGGAAACCGTCGTTGGTGCGTGAGACATCCAGATTTACGTTCCTCGATACCATCCAACATCCGATTCAAGCGGTAAAGAAGCTGAAGACCAAGCAAACCGACGCGCTGTCCGGCGTGATTCTCGCGCCGAAGCTCGAGGAGAGGCTGCGCGACATCGCGATAGCCACGAAGAATACCAAACACAACCGCGGCATGTACAGGAACATACTGATGCACGGTCCGCCAGGAACTGGCAAGACTATGTTCACGAAAAAGCTGGCGGAACACTCCGGTATGGATTACGCGATCGTGACAGGGGGCGATCTGGCGCCGTTGGGTAGAGACGGCGTGACTGCCATTCACAAAGTGTTCGACTGGGCGCTGACGTCCCGAAAGGGACTGCTGCTGTTCATCGACGAGGCGGACGCGTTTCTAAGAAAGCGCTCCAGCGAGCATATCTCGGAGGATCTCCGGGCGATGCTGAACGCATTTCTGTACAGGACCGGCGAGCAAAGTAATAAGTTCATGCTGGTGCTCGCGTCGAACACGCCCGAGCAGTTCGACTGGGCGGTGAACGATCGGCTGGATGAGATGGTGGAGTTCCGTCTTCCGGGTCGCGAAGAACGCGAGCGTCTAGTCCGCCTGTACTTCGACAAGTTCGTCCTGCAACCGGCGATCGCGGGTAACAAGAGACTGAAGGTCGCACAATTTGACTACAGCTCGCTGTGCACCAAGATGGCCGATCTGACGGAAGGAATGTCTGGCCGAGAGCTGGCAAAACTCGGGGTCACCTGGCAGGCAGCGGCCTATGCCTCGGACGACGGTGTGTTGACGGAAAAGATGGTCATGGACAGGTGTCTCGAAGCCATTAAGCAGCACAAACAGAAGGTGCTTTTTAATATTTAATACATTAAATAGCGGAAAAGATTGTTTGCGTATTTTATCATGGCGTTATTAAATGTGTTTGTTCTTTTTATTTTATGAAATGATGTATGCAATTTATTTATGATGTGTTGCTTATTTTAGGTACAATGGCAAAGCGAACAAGAGAAGCAGGAATCGAAGTCGATATACGCCACGGAGGACGACGCGGTTGTCCGTTCGACGACTTCGAAACCTCCAGCGATAGAATATCCGGGAACAATAGCCTCAGTTTAGATCATTGCAATTGTCGATGATCTTTGAAAGATAGGGCTAATAGTGAGATCAATAAAATATGGAAGGGGTAAAAGTACAAATGCCGCCCGGAAAAGGATTATTCTGGCGATTTTTGTATGTAAAATGCAGGTAAATTTATTGGAACTCTCGATTGATCGCAAATTGATCACTTGTTACAAATGTACATTTACATAGGACAATTAAATCGTAATTCTATAATGCTTTTTATCATCCTTCATCATTTCCTCACGACAGCGTACGGAAATTTGTAATCAATCTTCCTAAATTACACGGATAATTTTTTTATCGGCGGCTTCAAGAAGAGAGCCGTAATTATGTTAATTTATATATTTATTGAAAAAAGAGAGAGACTATCGAAGTTTTTGCCGTCATAACAGACATAGACCTTTGAAGCCAAAAATTATTTAAAACTTTAATTAATTCCTATCGTAATCTCTACAGCAATTGAGATTAATTAAACTTCAGGATACGTTAAAGATGTTTTATACATGTATGATATTTTCTATAATTGAGCATATATATTTCTTTATCAATTATCTTCGCTTTTTTCAGAAAATGCGACGAGACTAAATTACGTCGCAAAAATGCTATCACGATTATTTCTATGTCAAGAAAATAACAAAAAGCTTTGACCGACCTTGTCGTAGAAAGAGTTGCAGTCAGTGTATATGTAAGTCCGTTTATCGATTTATCTCTTCTATTTTGAGAAAATAAGAGAGAGTATTTTAACGTAATATTTTTCAAAAAAAAAAAATTTCGGTATCGTTAAAAATCCATTTGGCCTGCCATAAATTCTTGCGACAAGATTATATTATATTATCGTTACGTAATTTATCGTTATTCCGACCACGTTATAACATAACGAGATTCGATTCAACTAATTATCAAATCGACGTCGTCCTCGATGCTTTTTCTTTTTTTTTTTTTTTTTACATTTTAGTTTATACAAATGTGTCAGACGTTCTCGGCATGATCACGTTACTAGGGCTCTAGTCACATTTGCGTAATTACATTTACACGCGACCGTGATAAGAGCGGCCAACTTATCATCGTGCGACGCGCCGTTAAGGACGACGTAAGAGAAGACTACGAAGAGGGTGAAGAGGCCATCCGCTAGTCATAACACAATAATATTTAACTTGATAGAACATCGGATAGATGTGTTTTATGTCACGCCGAACAATTAGTATGCATCGGGGAAAAAAAGCAACATCACGCTATATTGTTTATACTGAGTCAGATATGACGACTGATGAACTTGATAAAAAGATGATTTTTTTTTATATAAAAACTTACTTATATATGTAAATTGCTTAAATACGCTTGTTCTGCTTTTCTCGTATATTTTGAATCACGATAAAGTGGAAAACAAAGTAGAGAAATTAAATAATATTCGGTTTCAAAATTTTTAAATCAATGCAATTAATGAATTAACATCTTTCTCTCTTCTTTTCTAAAATATTTAAATTATTTGTTTTTTTTTAACATTTTTAAATTATATATTGTATGTGAAAACCAAATTTGGATCATTTTTTTTCTAAAAAAATATATTAATTGCTCCAAAATATATGAGGAAAATCAAATATTTTAAAAAGAGAACATTTTTTGGAAATTGATATTTATATATGTTTTTGCTGATTATTTCGTTATCTTTCTACGATATTTTTCAATTCGTTAATTGAAAGAGAAAGAGAAAGTGAAAGGCGGCGCCGCATCTATGAAAATATAATGAATGAAAACATCGGAAAGATACGTTTCTTAGAAATTATATATTTCAACATGAAAAATCATCGAATCTGTAACATATATGATTTGCGTAAGTAGCATTATCTGTTGAAAGGTTTTCTTTTTATGCTTGTTTGCTTAGGATTATAAGATCTTATAAAAATTATATTATAATATTTTGACTTAGATAATTTCAGTAGTATATACCATATATGTATATGCTCGAGAGTAGAAATGTCACAGGCTCTGTGTATAACATCTTGACATATTATATCTACGCAGAATCTCATATCCTTTCGATATTCTTATATATATTCTTTCATGCATTCAATGCATTTTAACGAGAGTGAGATAAAACATTTTTACGTAAAAATCTTTACGTAAAACTAGATCAACGATTCTACACTATTATTACGATCGCAAATCACCATGTAATTATATGACTCTAATGGTATAAATCAACATTTAATTACATACTACCATTCTTTTTCCTCTTATTATGTAAATAATTATACGCTTGTGGTATGTATGTTAATTATATTTGTGCTGAAAATGAAAGTTTGAATACATTTTCAATGAAACTAATTAAGAAAAAAAGACATCTAGGTATGTGGCGGAAAATTATGCAGATCATTTATTATGCTACAGTGTTAGACTTTATCTATACGTATATTTATTTCACTCTTGTATGTATACATATATATACAGGGTGTCGTATTTTAATGTCCCACCCTAAATAAGTTTTTTATTTTTGACTGTAGAAAAAAATGTTTCAGACACAAAAATTGTATGATTTCGAGGAGGACATAAGGTGGTGCCATTAGTTTGATCTTGAATAGTTGCTTGAAGGTCTCGTAAAGGTCACCTTGAGGTGAAAGATCTTGTCTTATAACTCAAAAAGTACTTGAGATAAAAATGTTTCATTATAGTGTTTTGGAAAGCTCTCGATGTCAGCTACAAAAATATGTAATGAAAGTAGGTTCCATTTAAGAAACTAATGGCATCACCTTATGTCCTCCTCGAAACCATACAACTTTTGTCTGAAACATTTTTTCTACAATCAAAAATAATAAACTTATTTGGGGTGGGACATTAAAATGGGACACCCTGTATAACTATAGGACAGCCCCGGCGTTTCCCTCGGTCTTTCCCGAGTGGGGAGATATCTGAAATCATGTTTTTCCCGTCTGTTAGCGATAAATCGTGTCGTACGATCCCCCATCCGGCACAGCCTCCTATTTAACTCGTGTGATAATGAATCGAACGATTATACGTATTATGTTCACACAATTACACACTCGTGTGGGTGCGAAAATAAACCCTATCGCTCTGTCTTTCCGAAGAAACCTGCACTTTAACGAAGGGTTAAACACCCGCCAATATATATATGTACATGACAGGTCAATGGCGACCTTGATAAAACATTTTTTTATCTATTTACTTTTTGTATCTTCTATTCTTACTCATTTTTATATTTTTCTTTTCTCTTGAGTACTTCTACATCTTTCGAAATGTTGTTTGAATTTGACGAAAGTAAACATTGATATGACGTGTTTAAGGCCCGATTGCACCAACATTTATTTTGGCTTTAATATGTGTTCCTCTTTATTTATTAAAAAAATAAAATAAAGATATATCTTATCTTAAGATATAGATAATATTTAAAAAAAAGAAAAATTCTTCGAATTTTTTCCAAGTTTTACTTGCACGTTTGCTTGAACTTGTTAAAGCTTTAGGTAATCTTTCCGAAGTGTTCGAGTACCTGAAAAAGAATAAAAAATGTGGAAAGCGTCGCGCCTCTGAACTTGTCGACCTTATGTATCGAGGTGTTAAACATCAGAGGTCATCTTTGCGTCAAGGTTATCGTTGGATTTGAAACAAAAAAGTGGGGAGATTTTTGTACGCTATTAGCTGTAACTTAATAAGCGTCAGTCTGACGAAAACTTCGTTCGTCGACGACTCTTCCGTTTCGACGTCGATTTATCTGCATGCGCGCTTCCACGATTTTATCAAAGTTCTTATCTGAGACATACGTTGAAATTCTAACTATTGGTCTTCTTACGTCCCACATTCTTCTGTTTGGGAGATTAAATTGTTCGAGAGATTAGACTTCTTCTATTCCTCAAAGAGGACTCTTCGAGGAACTTTTCAGAGAGGTAGTTCAAAACGCGAGTTCAAAACCGATTTAAAATCAAAATTGACAAGAAGACTCAGAGAAGAGTATCGAATCGAGATGACGATTTCGGTGACCGACACAGCCCTCGACCTCGAAAGGAAGGCGATGAAGCACTACGCTCGACGCAATCGTCTTCACATCTTGCTGACCTGGATCTATTGCGGGCTGTTCCTGATGAGTTCCATGGGTTTCTACGTTTTCTGGTACACCGACGTGTTCTCCAACTACGTGCTCTCCAACATGAAGCTGACGAACGGCAGTCGCACCTTCGACTGGTGGCAGCAACCCCCTGTCAAGCTCGAGTACAGGATCCGCGTCTTCAATTACACGAATGTGAAGGAGTTCGAAGCCGGCAAGGTGAACAAGCTGCGCGTCCAGGAACTCGGTCCTTACACCTACCGGGAGACGAAGAGCCGCGTGAACGTGGTGATGCACGAGAACGGCACGGTGACTTTCCAGGAGGAGAGGTCGTTCGAGTATATAGGTGGTAGACCCGAGGATGACGTCGTCGTGGTGCCGAATGTACCCTTGATGTTCGTCACCGCATTCGTCCGGGATACGTCTTTCATGACGCGTATGGGTACCAATGTGATGTTGGCGGGTTTTCAAGAGCAAACCTACGTCAACGTCACGGTCAGCGACTTCCTTTGGGGATACGAAATCACTTTCTTGAAATGGCTCAAACCGTTTATGAAGCAAGACATACCGCTCGAGAAGTTCGGCTTGATGGCTGCAGTACGTATAATTGTGGAGTTTTATTGTAATATTAATATGAGGAATAGATGAGTACTTGTCATAGATGTGTTTGATGAAAAAGTCTACTTAGTTTTAAATGATTTATTTTTATTTATTTGAAAACAAAACACATCACAGAAGAAATGTTTAATAAGTGACATTTGGTATGAGAAATTTGTTTGCTTTGTTAACATCTTTTCACATATATGAACTGGAACAATTATAATTCGCAATATTAAAAAAAAAAAAAAGAAAAACAAACATTTATGACAGAAGTATTTGATGTAAAATGTTATATTTATGTGACTTGCTGTAATTATTTCTTGTATCATGCATCAAGAATCAAAATAACTCCAGTTCTCGCAGAAATGTAGATATGACAATATAGAATTAATGATTTTGTTCGACTATAAGAATATATTATAACAATATACATGCATATATATGTATAGCTAAATCTTTCAATCGTGCATCTATTAATTGCAGAAAAAGTTGAATAAGAATCGCATCACGATGAGCACGGGGGTGCCAAGTCTCGACAATCTCGGCATGATCGAACGACTGAATGGAATGGACAATCGGAAAATGTGGGGTGATGAGAAATGTGATAGAATCATGGGTACTGATGGTAGCATGTTTCCGCCACACTTGATAAAAAACACAAACAACCCTCTTTACGTGTATTCTCAGGATATGTGCAGAAATTTACCTTTTTATTTCGCCGAAGAAGTGACCACCTACGGCATACCTTCTCTAAGGTAAAGAAAATGGTTTTGTATAATATTTTAATTAATTAATATCTTTATTATTTTTAAATAATTATCTACTTATATTTATTTATTATTTATTCAATCAAATTTTATTTGTTCCTGTAATATATATATAATTAAATGATTTTTTACATGCTTTTTTATATTCATAAATTGTGAAGTAAAAATTTAATAAGGTCTCGTAAGAAAGAAGAGCTTTTAATGTCTATTAAAAATTGTAAATTAATTGAAGACCTCTTTATATATATGCACACTTTTCGTTTGTCTCAGGTATAAATTATCCCCCGACGCATTCAATTCTTCGCGCAAGGAAAACAAGTGTTTTTGTCCGAAAGTAGACGGTTCAAGAGTTTGTCCCCCCGATGGACTCTTCAATATATCAGCTTGTGTTTTTGGCACACCCTTGCTCACGTCATTTCCGCATTTTTATGGGGCCGACAAGTCCTTACTGAAGCAAATAGACGGCTTGAATCCTCGTCAGGAAGATCATGAGAGTTACGTAGATGTACATCCGGTATGTAAAAATATAATATTTTTATGTTACAAAAATATTCTAAATTAATTAAATTAAATTATTCTAATTAAGTGTTCTGAATATTCCTATGTGTTAATGATTATTTGATTGTTATTATGAAAAAATCTTGCAACCATTTAGTACAATTGTGAGAAGTTAATCTCAATAACATCGTAATTTATTGAGAGATATTGGAAATAAGTAGCTATTTCTATTTTTTTTCTACAATTAAAAATAAAACAAGAAAATCAAATTCTCGTCTTTAGCGTTTAGCGACTCCCATGGCCGGTTGGTCGAGATTTCAAATGAATCTGGAGGTGCGAACAGCGATTTCCGTGCCGTTTCTCGGGAAACTGAAGGACGGTACGATTCTTCCGATTATGTGGGTGGAGATCGGGACAGACCAGATTCCAGAATTTATGTTAGAGACCCTTCAATCCGCGTATTTCACAGCGGGCAACGTGGAAATGGCTTTGCAATGGGGCAGCTTCATAGCCATGATACTCTCTTTCAGCGCGCTCGTTACTTGTCTTTGGAAATATCTCGTCCAATGGGACGAGATTTTTCCCGAAAAATTGTCCGGTTAAAACAACCTTCTTGCATCGTTTTCCGATCGACGGAAATCGGTCGGAAAAAGGGTAGATGTATCCATCCAAGAAGAATTTTGAGGTAATACACGAATGTCTAAAAAAAGATTAATTTTTTTAACATTTCGAGATGCCTCCGCAGAAATGTTTTTTGAAATATCGCGTTCGAGTCGATATTCGATTCGAATGGGAAAGATTGTTATGCTATTGTATAAATTGTTTGGCTTCTGCGAAATTGTTAACGAGAATTTACAACATCTTGCGCGCAGAACTCGGTAACGTTAATAATATTGTGCAATTAGAATAATGTAATTACATTGTTGGCAAGTTATGTCAAGCAATTTGATACAGAGAGATTTTGTTATTGTTGTTTATAGAAATATAACATAAATATATATATTACATATATGTATAATTGATAGATGGAGAAGTATAAAAATACATCTCTCCCGTATCAAATATTTAATTAATATATCGCTTTAACAAAGTTTATTATCAAATTATTTGCCAAGTGAGTTTTGCTTCTTACGAATAATTAGAACAAGATTTTTATTTCCTATAATAAATATTTTTAAAAAATTACAAATAAAAATATTAGTCTATTTATAAAATTAAAGAGAATATTTCTTTCTTTTAATGTAGAAACATACCTAAAATGAAAATTTAAAAAAGGGAGCATTAAAACAAATATCTAAGTTAGTTGTATAAATATTGTGATAAGAGTTTAATTTACTTATATTGCAGAATTATGATTTAAGACGTGATGGCAAAAATTATATAATTAGTCCGATAAGATTGAATGAAGAGGAAGATGTGAGTCGATTTTACATTTCATATTGATGAACCAGTAATTTACACTTTACACAATAAGTTGACGTACCGCGTTTTGTACTGTGAAAAAGAAACATACCCGTAACGCGGCCAAGCTGTGATTAAGGCTTTAGTACGTCGAAATTACATGTAATTACGTAGACGGCTGCAATCTGTCGCGACAATTACATTTGTTGTGTTATTATCAAATAGTTGCCGTCTACAACAGTGTGTTATATGTGCGACAGTATATGTATCATGTTACCGATGTAATGAACAACCGTATTTAAAAATTAAGTGGTAACACTTAGGCAGTACGTATTACATACGGCCATTCAATTAGCTCATTATCTCGATACTGCGAGATACTATGCGAGGTACTTTAACATAGATTTTAAGTTTTTTATTTGACTTTTGCGACACTCGCGATATTTAACCGATATATGTATAGGCATTACTTTTTCTAATAAAAATGTAAAAACGAAAAAGAGAGAAACATCCTTTTCTTTTGACTCGATGCGTCGATATGAAAAAAGTCTGTACATAATATTTTTTTACTAGATATTAAAAAAAGATTTTATTTGAAATCTTTGTATTTGCGGTTCTCTTTTTTTTACGTATCGCAAACGCTTCGATTTTCACTCATGTCATGTTTCAGAAATTTTGAAATGAATAATTATCGCTTCATTTATTAATTAATCCATCCATGTGTATCTATCGAACTTGTATTCATCGTTAATATGCCGATAATATTTATAACGATACATTCCAAGAAGCAATAAAATGAATGTTTAATTTCTTAAACACCAAAAAAACTTGTTTGCGTAAAAAAAAAAATTGACTTCTGCCGCGAGTTACACGTATATAAAAACACACACTGTTGATTAGTTGTGTGCGTGGGCGATAACGCATATTATTGCGCGAATAACATTTGCGTGTCGCAATATGTCAGCGCATGGCGCAAGTGGTATAGGAGAACGGAATGATTGTGAGCAGCAAATCGACACATATTTCACCATAAAATTAATTCTATATATTTTCCTCACCTTGCATTCTCATGAGTTTTTAATTCCGTTCTTTGCTGCAGAAAAGAACGGGATTAAGGAGAGTTCGAGAAAATTTTATTTAAATTCCCAGAATGAAAGAGGAGAGGGAAATATATGTGACATAAAGTACCAGTAGTAAAAGTTGAAGTTTCCAGTCCCTCTCTCTCTTTTTCTCTCAGGAATTTAAATCAAAATATGTACTTCTTCTGACACTCTATTTTTTTTATAGAGTTTATATACGCGCGCGATTTGTGAGTTAGTAAAATACATATCGAAAAAATACAACCATATAACGATTACATTGACACCAATAATGATTTCTCGCGCGTACGCACATAATTCATTTGGCATCTTTTGATTTCTATCGTACAAAAGTAATTTCTTTATCAGGTCTAATTATAATTATATATATATATATATATATATATATATATATATATATATATATATATATATATATATATATATATCTACGTCGAATAATATTTATAATAATAATAATAAAATAATAGTAATACATGTACAAACGAAAATAACGAGAAAAATACATTCTTAGTAATTACAATTAATAAACGATAACGACGGCCAAGTTCTATGTACAGAAAAAATTTCTGTCGTTCTGCTATTGATATGTCTCCATTGCACAACTCCTCATCGCAAACACACTCGCGCAATCCCGATTAAAGTCGCAAACGTAACTTGGCCTCGGGATGCCTCATGGACGGAATATCAATTTCATCTCCGATCTTTCTGACAATAATTCACAGCGATTATTATCCGTATTGTCTCGCGTGATTAAACGGCGATGTAAAATTCTGTAATGATTTCGATCGTGGAACAAGAAAAATGGCTCATTAATATTAACAATTCGGATACAAAACGTATGTTGTAAATGTCATCGTAAATTCAATCGTCAAGTTCCTCAGAAGATGACTTAACTCCGGTTTTTCATTTTCATATTGAGAAAAATATTGCATAGAAGCGTTGTAAATTAGTTTTTAACATTTAATGTAAAAGGAAAACATTTCCATAAAACAATCTTGAGATGTGTAATCAGAATGGAATAATAAAACCTTGTTTTCTTGTTCATTTCAACTAAATTTAGCAAAGTGTCTTTTTATTCGTTAAGAAATTCAATATTAAAAATTTTTTAAATTACAATGAATATTTCCCGTTACAAAATATCAATTCTAAATTCAGCAAAAAATTATTCATTCCTAAAATATTTTTCTCAATACGAATTTTCGAAATTGGGTCATTCTTTTAGAAAAATATCGATTTACCAATCTCAATTATGTTTAGTAATTGTGTTTCGTAAAACGTGGTAAAATAACGAATGTAATACCGAAACGCTTGTTCCACAAATCTCGAATTTATTTGCATACCTACACGACTCGTCCATCTGTCGAAATACTTCCCCGATAAGCGGGGAAGGAAAAGAAGAGAGACGTAACATAAATAATCTAACATATCGGCGTGTGCGCGAAGGGGCCGATGAAATTCGCCTCGCACTCTCTCTCTCTCTCGCGAGACCAGAGAAATTCGCTCGTAAAAAAAAAAAAAAATCCTAATTGAGAGATAAAGCACATGCCCATCGCCTTACAAGATAAGTACGAGATTATCGTACAGGTCCTCGCGCACGAAACTCGTCGCGGGATAAGACTCGAGGCACTCGCGCACTCATCGACTATCTCTCCCTCGATCATTTAAATTGGACACGCGTTTACTTGCTGAAGCCTAGATTCAACTGGCCAGTCTTGGTGCTGGTCGCGTTCGCTGGCAACGGACTGCTCAGATGCAGCTTCTCCTGGCGTTTGGCGGCACGTGCTAAGCACATAAATGCGCCTAGTAGGACAATCGCGCCGATCGCCGCGAGTGCACCGGAAACCGCGGCATGGGCCACCGGAGGCAGGTCCACCACCAGCTTCAGCAAGGTGCGCATCTCCTCGGGTAGCTCGTCGACGCACTGCAAGATCAAAAAGGAGGATATCAGATCTTTTATTTATATTATTATTAAAAACGAAGAAATAATTTACGAGTTCCAACATCATAAGATCATATTACGGCGAATACTTTTATAAATTAAATATGACAAATTGTAACACGCATAAATTTCTAATAAATTCTCGACTCGAATTAACGGACTATTAGTAAGTTTAAGAATAGGATGAATTTTTTTGTAAGAATTATAAATTACGTAACACTGTTATACTGAGGAAGACCGCGTGCGGTTGAAACGTTTATATGGAAGGTTTTTTGTAATTTTAATATATTGTTTATGAAATAAATTTTAATTAGATACAACATCTTAAATATTGCTTGATAAGTTGGCCTTTTTGAATACATTTGCTGTCATATTATTATACATCTCTTTCGAAGTTGAATTTATATTATTTGAATAACTTGCTAAATTATTTGGAATTCTTATCATTCCTAGCTGTTAAGAGTGGCGCTTGCTTTAGGAAATGTAAATCTCCAAATCTCGTTCAAAATTAAAAAACCAAAAATTTTCTTATTATTTATGAAATTAGTTTATTTAGATAGTATGTATTTTAGTTTTTTACTTTTAGACAAGATTTGGAGATATGAGAACGCTCGCCAATTTGCAACTTGGACAGCGAGAAGACCCTCACAGTCTATATTTTTAACTAAAAATATTGTATACTTGCAAATATTTAATAATAGATGCCTAAAAGTTTCGGAATAATTCGCTGTAAAGTTTTTCCAAAAAAACATTCTCTAAAATCAATCTTATTTCTTGCTTCTCTAAAAAGCAGACGCCCGCTTAAATATAACTTCTTCTTTCTTCCAACTTGTGTTAAAATATGTTGTGTACTCCGAAACATTTTAATATTTAATTATATAACTCAAGAGCTTATTAGCAAAGTTATATGTTACACGTTAATGACAAAAAATTTGTAGACTGTCTGAGAAGGTAAATAGAAAAGTTCTCCATTTATTTAAGACAAGATATATCGCCGGAAAGTTTGTTGACTCGGTTACAAAAGGCTCGATCTTTGTTTTAGCAAACATTTCGCGCACAAAAAATCTCTCTTTCGAGTTCGAAATAAATACACTCGCGTCAGAGAAATGTCTTCGTTAATGTCGCATTGTGCGAGGGGACGCCGTCGAACTCTTTATTAGCGACGTCAGAATACGAGTTCCATTAATATGAATCATTGGGTAAAATGCGCGTGGTATTCTACTCGTGCACAGTATTCAAACGCACGTCATTGAGAAGTTACATCCGCGCAAATGGTGAACGGTAGGCACGTTCACCATTATCGTCGAAGACAAAAATAAAATTTTACCTGCGCGACCGACTCGATGATGACGATTCGTAAGCGACGCGGCATTCCTGCGTCAGTAACGCAAGTTAAAAGCGACAGACGGATTCGCATATGGAATATAATCGGCAAAGAAATGGCACGAGCATTGGAAGAACGGAAATTTAAATTCGGAGATTAAGGATAATATTGTATCTCTATAAATATTTTAATATGTATATTACGTTTTGTGATAATTGTTCGCGATGATTTTTCATTTTTACTTTTGCGTCATTTCAATTAAATCAGTAGATGGAAACTTTGGCCGCATATGTTTCTTTTGCTTCTACACCGCGTTTCTTCTATTTATTTAATTAACATAATAATGGTTTAACATATATGGTATTTATTGTATTAGTATTTGTAAATTGGCGAACATACATGAATGACGAATGTCCTTCGTTTATGTCGATATTCTCATTAGCATCATTAATAAAATTTATGCTACGTTAGCAAACTTAATGAGCTGATGCTAATCGCCATGAACGCGCATTTTCTTACGTAGCACTATTTTTCCAACATAATTATTAGCCGTAAAAAAGCGGTCGTCCCCACTTTTTGCCTTAATTCTTATCCTATTTAAATCTACAATTTGATATGCGAGCGATAATCGCTGCATTATGCTTGCTTGATATTATATATTCATTATTGAGCGAATTGATGCGTAATAATTTTGACAAAACACGCGATGATTCATACATAAATATCTTATTGTTAGAAAACAGGAGTGTTGTAAGAATTTGATTGTAAAATTAATATAACGTGCGTGATGGTTGTGTTGTTCTTGTACCTCATCGTGAATTACGATAAATCGACAATCATATAACCAGAAATTAATCAACCGAGAGATGATTTCTACACGGTTATGAGTGATATGTATATTAATTAGATCTAATGATTAATGTATTATATAATATGTAGAAATTAATATATTACTGCATATAATAATAATTTATTACATGGGTTCTATTATTATTATTATTATTATTATTATTATTATATTAGAAACAACGATGGACATCTGGAGATAATTAGACGGAATAGTAATTATAATAGCTGTTATATACTTACATCCTCGAACCACATAATGGGAAAAACGATGTCGGGGAACGAAGCGACCTGCTTGATGTCTCGTACTTGGCTAACCGCGAGATTGATTTGTATCCTCGCTCTTGCTTTCATAGCTGTGCCCATTATCGGCTGCACGTCAATGTAGAGCTGATGTTTTTCGGCATCTGGTGGCGATATGCCCGTCACAGCCTCTCGTAAAGCCGGATCGGCTAGAAGAAACAATTAAGCAAATAAGCAACAAAATCTGAAGAGATAAAAAAATAAATTATTGTATAAAAAATGTCATAATTATATTAAAATTGTAATTATCGTTATAGGAGATATAATATTTTTTTTCTTCAAGAGTTCAACAATATTTAAATGAATATCATATTTGAATTTCAACAGGCTGGTATGCCAGTGCGTCAAGAAAAATTAATTTTCCTTGGAACTGAGTTGTGCAACCGGGCATAAATTTTTCTTGGCGTGATGTTAAGAAATTAAATAAAGTGAATCAGGAATTTGGAACCCAAGTTTTGCTAAAATTTTTCAAATTATATATATATATATATAATTATATATATATATATATATATAATTATATATATAATATTCCTTAATTGCAGAATCAAAACTTATTTTGTATTATTCCTTGGTGAAAGGATAATATAATGCGCCGTAGTTAAATAGCGCTTAATCACCACTTTGATAATCGTGTTCTTATGACACGTAATACCTTTCAAAAATGCAAAGCAACGTGTAAACACCAAAAATGATGTTAACGCGACGGAATTAATCAATTCTGATGTTATTCTTATTCTGCTATTATGAATCCTTGATTATTTCCATATTTTTTATTAGGTAATTTTTACATAAATCAAATATTTATATGTATAAGTATATCCTATACAAAAATTATCATTATTATTTTTCTCTTAAAATAAACTCAAAAAGTCAGAGAGTTTAAACTCTCAGAAGAAACCAAGATTAATCAACAAAGATTATGGAAGGAAAAACCTGTTATATCAAATTCATAAAAAGATTCCCTGAAATATCTCTCACTTAAATTGAGACATCCTGTTTACGTCTTAATTTTATGCGACAGAGTTGAATATTGTATACCAGAAGAAGAAAGAGATAAATGTGTGAACATTAAACTGATTGTGAGTAAGAGCGGTTTTGTATCTAGTAATATTAAACAAAGCGTTTCGAGCTGTTGTTTGCCTAAAATCCAGAATGTTGAAAGTAAAAGTTGGCGGCGCGAATTCTTCGCGCAATAAATTCAGACGAGAGAGAGGGCTCGTATAATATTTCGTGGGAGATTCGCGACGGACGCGTGAGAGAAAGAAGTGTTTCTAGATAAAAAAGAGTCTTGTAACAGACTATTCGACTCCTATTATGTAGTTTCGCGAATCCGGAAACGACACGACACATAGATCTCACTTACGAAACTGGTACACGCTTAAACGATCTTTCTAAATCAGTTGATCGGTTGGTTATCCGTTCCACGTGAAAAAAAGGCAGACAAGATGGCACAAAAAAGCGACAAGGGATCGCTCGTTAATAGTAATCTAAGAGATCTAAGAAATCGTGTGACTGTACAACTTCAATCGCAAACCTCGAGAAAATCTACAATGCATGTTTTGTATATGAGAGAATTGAAATTTATCGCGAAATATTAAAAATAATTACCAACAAACTATGTGTGCGACGGTTACGTAACATATTTTTCGATCCGTGATTCGAGATTGCGGATATAAATTACAGCTTAACGATCGGTTGGACGACATGCGTCAGAGAATCGTGGTGTGCTGTTACATCAAGTATGAAACGATATGTAGCGCATCGTGATTAGGAAAGTCCGTGTAAAATCAAACCCTGTTGATGACATAATAATTGTGATAAAAGCAAGGCGAGACATTTGTCGCGATCGAGTTTGGCTGGAAATAAATTTGACATTCTAAGCAAAATGCATTTTTATATTTATATCTGTCCTGACCTTAGATTGTGTACACATAGAGATCATCGTTATGACACTCACCAAGATAGAAGTGCGGGAATGTGAGAAGAACTGGCGAATCGTACTGGCATTTGGAAACATTAAACGTGCCTTCTGGTGCACATGGTGGTCCACCCGGACAGTAACACTTCTGCGATGGCAAATTCTGCTCCGAGGTAAAGACATTGAGAGGAGGAGAAAATCTGTAACCGGGGACTCCTCCGGAGGCTACCACGTCACGCTGAAATACGCATTTCGAATTTTTCATCAATTACACGAGTCTGCAACTGTTCGAACATCTCAGCTTGCTGCGATTCAAATTGCTTCGAAGATTCAAACTATTCAAATATCATTATTTTCAACATATCTATTTATAAAAATTAAGAGAGCAATAAATGAAGTTTCCTTTATAAAATTCAGTTGGCGTTAATAAGGGATATGTTGATTTCGTGTTACAATCTTGAAAATTAAATTATTCATTAGATTCGAAGCCCGCAGGAAAGCCGTGATCTGATCGTATCAACCGGTTAATTGAAAATGATTGACAATAAAATCTAAACCTGAAAGACCAGGGGCAACGTCCTGCAGAGATCCTTGTCGAAGACCTTGAGTACGCTTTCCTTGGTGATGTGGGGCGGGAAGATGCTGCCATCGGTGCCCATGACGGAGTCGCACTCTTCCGTGGTCCAGAACCCGAGACCGTCCTTGCCGTTCCACCTGTCCATCATTCCGAACTTGGTGATGTCGTTGGCGCCGGTGAATATCGTGTACAGATCCGGCATGGTGGAGTTCTTGCCGTAGAGCAGACCGAACTGATCGTACGGCAGCTTTTGCTCCTTGGGCACGACGTCCTTGGCCAGCTTCAGCAGGGGGTCCTCGTAACCCCAGAGCAGCTGCTCGACCGACACTTCGACGAACGGCTTGATCTTGAGAATGTCCATGATGGACGCCATCGCGAGTCGTAGAAAGCGGGCAGCGTGTTTCGATTGGCTGGTAGCCGATAACATGGGAACATTTGGCACCACCACGAGATCATCCTGGGAGCCGGCCGACATTTCCTAAGATTTCAACGAGAAAAAATCATCAGAATCGGTGAACCCAATAACGGGGTGACTTGTAGAAGAATAATGAAAGCTTTTGACCCTTTTTGAGTGAATAAAAAATCATGAGGAAGAAAATAAAAGGTGAAGACTAATAAAGATATAATTGAAATGATATGATGATAAAAGAATATATAAATGACGATATAAATAAGAATTGATATAAAGTTGTGTAATATAATTTTCTCCATAGGAGCAAAGAGAAAAACTCAGGCGGTGAACGAAACTGCTACGTCGATTAGAACTATTATGTAAAGTAACAAAAAGCTTCCGCGTATTCATAAATATTCCGATTACGTTTTCTCGGAGCAAGAGAATGATCCGTGTTTTCTTTCTTTGCCACCGAGTTATGCATTAATACACCTTAGCTCGGGACTGTGGAAGCGTTTCTCTGACGAATGTAGAAAGTCGCCGCAGTGATTTCGATGCGCGAACAAGAATAACTGTGCAACAGAGATGGCGACGGGGAATCTATCTGTAGTCGATTGAAATAACACGAAGGCAATGAGATGTTTCGATTATTATCATGCAGCGCAACGCTGATGTGCTGACTCTTTTTCAACAACTGATGATTCTCATCGGTTTCTTGATAAAGGATAATCAACAATCTTATGTAATACATCTACATCATGGGTAATGAAGATGCGTTGAATGCCAATCACGAACGTATAGTGCTGCATATGAAATTATCAAAGCCTTGATAGTTTTATCTTGCTTGAAATTAACATTGCTTTAAAAATACTTCCGTACAACAATTATATATATATAGTATATTACACGCTATTAATACTCTTTCTAATACAAATAGCAATATCAAATATATAATTAAATACATGTTTATCATAAATGTATATATAAATGAATTATATAAATTCAAAACAGTCTGATACATACATTAGACATGAAAACCTCAATGTCGACAAGATTTTTGTAAATGAAGATATCGATATTAGTCTTGAAAGGTATCAAGGTTGATTTATTAAATAGATGAAGATTTGCATTTTCAAATGAAAAATTATTGCGCTATAAACTATGACAAGTGACAAGACTCACCTCGTTGAAGTTAAAGGTTTTCTTCACTTTATAGCTAACGGTTCCATTGTCGTTGAATTGAATGTCCACCTTCTCCCAGCGTTGCAGATAAACGTACGGACCCAATTCTTGCAGCACCGGTTTCTCGCCGTTGTTCAAAAATTCGTCGGCATTCGTCACATTGTAGATATAGACTTGCAAGCGTGGTACCACCGGCGGTGCCTTCCAAAACTTGAACGTACGACCGCCCTCTTGTATCGCAAGCTCTTTATCGAGGACGAAATTGATGATATTCGGAAACAGTACCGCTAACACGGCAGCCAAAATTATCAGCAAAGCTCCGATCGCGACAGCCGCCCCTGAAAACAGACATAAAGATTGATCAATAATTATATTATAATAACGAATGAGTGAAATGTTTCGAATTCTTAGTTGTGCACAGAATTGTCAGAGAGAATTTTCTCTCAAAATTCATTCGGAAAATTATAACAATCGTGGGATAATATATGGTATTGAAAGAATTTGATAAGAGTTTTTCTGATTAATATTTTTACCACAATAAAAAATATTAATATCTACCACAATAAAGTATAAAATATGTTTAATTAATTTTATTATTTTAAAAATTTATTAATTTAAAAATTTGCTATGTACCTAAAATATTTTTTATTTTGTGATACATATTAATGAGAGAAAATGTTTTCTTATAAAATTCTTCCAGTATTATACTGTCCCATAATTTTCAGTAAATTCGAAGAAAAAATTCTCTCTATGTGCAAATTAAAATGCATAAATTAAAGTAAGCATAAATAACTTTGATTGTACAAGATAAGATATTTTCGAGATTTTTGAGCAAATAAATAATTTCTGTCGTGAGAAATAAAGATTAAAAAAAAAAACTAAAAGACACACGAGAATAAAGAAACGCGAAGAATTTATTTTGCAAGAGGAAACGATAAAACTCCTATCTAGATTTTTTGCTCAATATTTTTAAAGCTGTTTCTTCTTTAAATTTCCTATTTTGATGTAGTGACCCTGAAATAATTAATCAATGATCAATCAACGATTATCTTTCGTGAGTATCGAAAATAATTACATCACGATCTTTGGTCGAGGTCGTCGACCTACGATTGATTCGATTAGTTAGAAGCCGAATGCAAAAAGGAACAAGGTCAACCGGTTTCGAAAACCCTTAGGCGACGTCTCCTTGAAACGGTCGCCTTGCTTTTGATCCCCCACATACCGTGGCTGTAATAATCTTGAATAAATTTTATCCCCGTCGTTATAAGCCTCTCCTAAGAGCGAAACAATCGCCAAATATAAACCAGTTCTACAACACTTTGCGCGCCTTTCTCGTAAATATTTATCTGCTTTAGCGGTTCGTTCCTCGATGCGTACATACATTCTGTATTATTATTTACGCCATGTATTACGTTTACATGCTGCACTTAATTTATCCTGTACTGAAAAAAAATTTATTGAGTTCAAATAAATATTTATTTCAATACTGCCAAACGAATGATTTATTTGCAACTAATAATATTGATTTGATATGAAAAATATTGATTTGATATAAGAAAATCTTTTTCAAAACAAATAAAATATTTATTTATTTCAAATAAATCATTTATTTAGAAGTATTTAAATAAATATTTATTAATTTAGTCATTTTTTCAGTGTACGTGTAAAAAAATGTATCTATAATACTATGCTGAAAAAAATATATTACACTGAAAAAAAATTTATTAAATTCGAATAAGTATGTTTATTTCAATACTGTCAAGTGAATTATTTATTTGAAACTAATAATATTGATTTGATATAAAAATATTGATTTGATATAAGAAAATCTTTTCCAAAACAAATAAAATGTTTATTTCAAATAAATGATTTATTTGGGAGTATTCAAATAAATATCTATTAATTTAGTTATTTTTTCATGCTCAGTTATTTGCGATAAATAAGCTCCAGCTGTGCTAATTCGAAAACAGGATCGCTAAATCGAGAATCGGAGATTCAAAATATATCAAAAAGATCGTAAAATGTCATTAATTTAGATAATCATTTTGCATTAAGTTATGTGTTTATACCGGTAACATCGTAAAAGGCAGTGAATTAACATTGAAAAAAGTATTTATCGAGATGTACAAAGTATGATATATAGGAAATATATCTCTGTTTTTGTACGTATATCTTTCTGAATCAATATTTTATATAACGTTAGCATTTTTCATTTGATTATATCTCTTTCCTTATATGATACTTTACAATCGTGTACATTTTTATCGTGCTCGGTTTTTTCAGTATTATTGCAAATCTTTTACATAAATCAAGTATAAAATTATTTCTTTAATTATACCGGTATTACTACTATATTATATAACAATACTGTGAAATCAACAAGTATGTTTTCTTCAATGTATATTCTAAAAACAAAAATATAATATTTTTCCTTACAATTAGTCATTAAATGAAAATTAATAAATAGCTATGCACAATAATTATCTTACTTTTTTATGACAGATATAAAATATTACACTTTTTTACACGACTTATATCATTCTGTATAGTACAACTCTCTCTCTCTCTCTCTCTCTCTCTCTCTCTCTCTCTCTCTCTCTCTCTCTAATAAAATATTAATTCAGTATGATTAGGTCGACACTAAATGCGAGAGATTTCCAGAGGCGCATATTAAAGGTGAAATGTGCAATATGCGATCCTAACAATCTTGTATTTGATTATACATTACGTTTCGACTTTCGCGAGTCGACAATCGATCGCGAGTCGCGAGATCTCTCACCAAAATACGAAAATCCTAGAGCTAATCCTAGAACAATACAGTATTGAAAAAATTTTATAAGACTTTCTCTGATCAATATTTACCACAATAAAAAATTATTTCAAGATCACTACGTCAAAAGAGAAAATTAAAAGAAGAAACAGCTTAAAAAGCATCGAGTAAAGAATCTAAACAGGAGTTTCTTTTGCAAAAATTAAATTCTTACTGTTTCTTTATTCTCGCGTGTCTTTTAGCTTTTTTAAATCTTCATCTCACGACAGAAATTATTTATTTTCTCAAAAATCTTGAAAAACATCTTACCTTGTAGAATTTAATCTATTTATGCTATTTTTAATTTATATGCACATTTTAATTTGCACATAGAAAGAATAATTTTTTCTTAGAATTTACTGAAAATTATAGCAATCCTGGGGCAATATGGTATTGGAAGAATTTAATAAGAGAACGTTTTCTCTGATTAATATTTATCACAAAATTTTACTTAGTAAATTAGTAAATTTTGAAAATAGTAAAATTAATCGAATATAGTTTGCATCTTATATCTTTACATTCTTGTTTATAATCTTTGTAATCCTTGTTTGTATCTTTACATCCTTGTTTTGTAATTAAAACATTTTTGTTAGAGAGTACAGTTAAATATATTAAATAAAATTCACTTTTTTTAATTTAGAAGAGAGATAAGAGAGGGAAGGATTGATAAATATTTAAAATAATTCCCGATTCGAAGATATAGATACTCCTAATCTTGAAGAATAAATAAATTATTTTATAAATTCTTTAGTGTTTTATCTGTAAATAATAAATAATTCATATATGTAATTTGCACATAAAAAATAGGTTCTTTCGTACAAAAAGAAGTTCACGGAGATAAAAGATTAAAAAGATTCGTACACGTGTTCTCAATCTTTTTTGAAAAAATAGCGTTGTTTTTTACAGACATCTTATTGCGGTAGAAATTAATAATTTTTAATAAGAGAGGAAAAGTAATAGTAAATTTGAGAGCAAAACGAGGTAATTGATTCGCACATCGTATAATTTATTTAATATGAGAAATTCTCGCGAAGGTTTCGATCCGATATTTCGGAGCTTCTTCAGCGCGACGTTATACCAATCAATAAATATATAACGCTTGCAACATAATAATATAAACACCCTAATTAATTACAATAATAAAGTGAAAAGTGTGAATAAAAATAATATTAATTAGAATAATAAAGTGAAAAGTGTGAATAAAAATAATATTAATTAGAATAATAAAGTGAAAAGTGTGAATAAAAATAATATTAATTACAATAATAAAGTAAAGTGTGAATAAAAATAAAATAATATTAATTACAATAATAAAGTGAAAAGTGTGAATAAAAATAAAAATAATATTAATTACAATAATAAAATAAAGTGTGAATAAAAATAAAAATAAAAAATAAAAATAATATTAATTACAATAATAAAGTGAAAAGTGTGAATAAAAATAAAAATAAAAATAAAAATAACATTAATTACAATAATAAAGTGAAAAGTGTGAATAAAAATAAAAATAAAAAATAAAAATAATATTAATTACAATAATAAAGAGTGAAAAGTGTGAAAAAAAATAAAAATAATATTAATTACAATAATAAAATGAAAAGTGTGAATAAAAATAAGAATAAAAATTAAGAAATAACTGAATAATTTTTACTTTCTTTCTAATATGCAAAGACGTCGCGGAATCGGTCCCGTTGATGATGCACCTTTCATCGGAGATCATTGTCTTGGAGAGATTACGAAATCACCGCCCCCGCGACACGCAAGGAAGAAAGCTGGTGCTGATGCATCGATGCATCGTCGTTGTGTGCACGAGCTCGCTTTCTAACAGTGTGGCTTCGAAGTCGCCTGAGTCCGCGCCTCCCGGAAGAAACACTATCGCGCTTCCTTCCCCTAACTCTTCTCTGTGTCCCGCAGACTTTTCTTTTCCGGCTTTCCACGCGAGCGCGCGTATTTATTTCACGCGCCCGCGAGGCATCGGAGTGCCTCTTTTTTTTTATTTGCTTGCACGTACATATGTGCATACGCGGTTGCGCGCATTTTTATTGTGTAAAAAATCCAGCGCGGAACCGTATTAAAGCATACATTACGTATCAGTACCGCTACGTAAAGCAGACTGCCTTAACAGATCATCGGAATGTATAATTAATCGCGATTCCTGGAACTTAATTTCATATACTAGTTTCGACTGCCTTCGAATTATTTATTTCGCAATTTCTTTATTTTTTTCCTGCGCGCTGATGTATATTAATGTCCATATTTATCGAATATATGCGAATTTCAGCGTGTTTAATTCTTTCGTTTCGAGATTAGATTATTTGGCTCTTCCTGGGGCCTTTAGTTTATTTCTTATTTAAGGACCGATATACACATCTTGGAAAGATACATGAATTTTTTCTCCGCATCTTTTTGAATCGGTCGGATGATTAAACCGCTAAAAATAACATTAAAAGCAGAATTGATGACATCTATTCTGGGAATCAGAAAAGAATTACACTAAAGAAGATTCGCTTCTTATTTTTTTCCCCGAAA